GTTAGGTATATTTGGTATCTAAGTCTCTGTCCACGTTGTGGACTAGTACGTGTGAGAAAGCACACGTGGTTCTGAACGTTCTAGCAGGGAACGCTTCATAACAATAATCGGCTCATTTGTGATGTATTTCATTTGTAGGGCATTAGTCACGTGACTGCTTTCTTCCTCATTCTATGCTTGCTGGACACCTTTCATTATAGGTCCATGTAGCAGCATAGCTCGTTGAAGGCCATGTGAGGACATGACACTCTATGTTGAATCTAGTCCTTACAGGCAACCCTTCTAGCTTATTCTCTATACCAGCATATATAATGTATATGCTATGTGCATCAGCACCATCTGTTTATTATACAGATGTGTGCTTGGATACCTGACTATATGATCTATAATCTGGTCCAGCGCTTAGTGCTGGTGCTTAGGGTATTTATATGAGAATGGTTAGGGTCACAAGGACTGTATTTGTGACACCTATAGCCTAGACTGTATGCCCTGGAGTGGCTCAAAACGCGACGGGACCTACTGTTTGACCCATAACGCATGTCTGTCAATCACCAACTTAAGTTGTGAGGATGGCATGTGACTCTGACTCACTGCTAGTGATGTGCCGGGCTCGGCCTCAAGCCATAAGCCGGGCTGAGCTGAGCCCAAAAAAGCAGAGCTGAGCTGGGCCCTAGGGGGCCGCTTGAGAGGGCTCATGGCCTCGCTTGCTCTTTTGGGAAGCTGAGGCCGAGCCGTAAAGCTGTGGCTTCACAGTGGCACAGAGAGTGTACCTTCCGAGGTCCCTCAGCCTTTCCATCTTCGCTTTTCATCTTGTCCTTCTCACTCATGTTGTCCTTGCCACCGACATGCACGCCCACTGCACGCACGAAGTGCTCGCAAATCTGATCCTCGAGTCTCATGCTGGCATGACACACCATTTTAGGCAGGTCAGTCACATGCCTCTTTCCCCTTGTCACCCCTCTGATCTTTGAGCAGATTGAATGTGAATGTTCAAACATCCACAGCTCTCCTTGTTTCTTACTGTTAAGTATCATTTTCATGTGTATCTACATGATAGTATCACTGTACACTGGCAAGGTTTGTACCTAGTCTATACATTAATTATGAATAAAAAGCTTTTTTTTTTGAAAAAAGCCGGGGCTTTGAGCTGGGCCTAAGCTGAGCCGAGCCTGAGCCATCTTCCTTAGGCCTGGCCTGCATTGCTGATAGGCCTGAGCCTGCTAAAGCTGAGCCAAAGCCAGGACTTTTGAGCTGAGCCAGGCCAGGCACATCACACGGTGTGAGATGGAGGTAGTCACATACCTCGAACGTGCATTGTTTCCTGCAGCAGTATAGTGCATGACTAAGCTACAGAAATGCTCATCCATTTGTTACACAGTGCTGGAGAATGCGACAGGGCCTGTTACTAGGAAACAGCGAGCACACAGCAAGCATTCGTGCAACATCATCTCGTTCATCAAATTGTTAGAACTACCTTCCGGACGCAAGCCATGTTCAGAAGCTTAGCAGAGCCGTCAGCAGAGATATGTTCATGCGAGACTGCACCCTCATGACATGCTAGCCAGTGGACATCTCATGGAGTAGGCCACCTTCTCGCACACGAAACTTCACATTCTCACATGCCCTATATGATAGACAAACTATGCGTTCTGCTGGTCCCTGGCCAGTCAGCAACAATGCCGTTGTCCTCGATGACACTCATATGCATTCTAATCTAATCCAGTTCATTGTCATCAATGATCGCAGTCTTGCTGACAGCATCTTCATGCACGATGCCCCTGTACGTTGCTGAACAGTTGAGGAGTGATGGGTCAGTGCATTTATGCTGCAAGTCGGGATTGATCAATGACACACCGTTGCCTCAATTGTAAAGAGCGACGACATCACCGACCCCTCCAACATGATGTAGCTCTTCTACTCAGTGCTTCACTGCATTCTCAAATGGCTCATGCAGATACTGCATGCAACGTCAGATTGTGGAGGCTGCGGCGAGGCGGTCGAAGTATCATGCAGAGAGCATCAGCGGCGACGCACGCGTAGCCACACCTGCTACTGCAACTTATGTTGCTGTCCAGCACCATTCCTGGTCTCACTCACACCTACAGTGATCTCAATCCTTTAACCTGTAGCCTTCCTCCAAGCCTTCCTGATCCAGCCCTCGATGTGCCACTTTTCTGCCCAGAAGCCCGCACCCTTGTGCGGTGCTTTGCTGACACCCCCTTTCAGCTTATTTGTCCAGCTGCCAGTCGAAGTGCAGGCAGTGATACAGCCATGCTCGTCAAAAGTGACAGCACTGACAGTACTGGTAGAAAGCTGATCCAGCAACTCCTTCGGTGCCTCCTCCTGATCATGTCTGCCCTTCCCGCCAGGGAATGGCAATGGCTCCTCCAGCAGACTCAAGCCTCTCCTGTGCCCTCTCTAGCACTGCTCTGTCCAGAAGTAGCTTGGATCAACTAGTTCAACTCCAAGTACTTCACCGAGTGGTTCTACAGGGCTGCCAGATAGCATGGTGTGCGGAGTTGTCTCAGGGGACAAGTACAATGCATGAGCAAGTGTGGAGAATTGTGTGCTTGTGTCATTAGGGTGATTCCCATACCATGTCGAGTGGCCGGGACAGAAGGGTGCATTGACAGTGGAACAGAGACCATAACTGAGGCTTCCAGCTCATTCTAAGTGCAGACAATAGGTTGTATGCGAATTCATGAATGACTACGAGTCTGCACAGTGACTCACTTTACCAGTGACATAGAACATGGCACCCTTGCCATGTGCCCATTGCGCAGGATACCTCCATGGACACACATGCACTCATGCTGGAGGTGGAGCTTGGTGGCTCAGACTTGATGGTGGTGCACGTTGGAACTGTGCACATGCGTTGCTGCTGACGGCGCACTGCAGATCTGCAGTTTGCACGATGAGTGGCATATCTTTTCAAAAAAGGTATTCAAGGGCATGACGAACCAACTTCTGTAGAACACCTCAACTTACTGCAACAGCCGTTAGCAGAACCACCTCAAGCAAATCTGCCATGCTACTGTCATGTGAGAGAGCTGATATTCCACCGTCGTCTAGGTCCTCGAGAATTCTGTCCAACTCTTTTGCATGGCCAGACGTGTGAAGAACCTTACATATTGAGGCATGACAAGTAGTCCAGGTTGGGCTGAACGAAACAAGACCATGCATATGGGGGATGAAAATGCAATCTATGAAATAGAAAGGCTTACCAATGCTTTCCCAGAATTGGTATGGTCACTTAAAGTGATGACTTCAGGTAGAAATTCTCGAGAATCTGTCACGTAATCCCAAGTGAGAATGCAGTAAACGTTGGGTTTTGCCTTATTTGTGGCCACTCAGTCATAACATACTTGGTAAGCGATGAAAGGGAGACTCACCTCTATGGGTTCAAGGGCCAGTACAAGCTCACTGAACATCTGATGCATGCAAGCCTCAAGGGTAAGCACGTTCTCCAGAGAGTTGATGCCATTTCCCTTGAGACCGTCCAGTATATGACCAGAGAATGTTTGCAAGGCTGTCCATATTGCAGTTGAACTGAGCATTAGTCTCTTGGAATGCATGAGAAGACATTGTAGCACACCATCGGGACATTCATCTCCTCGAAGTTATTCAGACTGAAAGGCATAATATGCGCTGCTTCTGTCTTGTCCAAGCCCGTTAAGGTCGTGACTTGAGATGCATGCTTCGAATCTACTTTCCCGGTTATGACGCATTTGTACCCATTGCACACCAGAGCCTGCATGAGCTAGGTCAAACTGCAGCCTGCATCCAGATACAAGCAAACGCACCCTGACCTTCAGGGTACTAAGACACTTCGCAGACTCAAGTGTCATGGTCAGTTCAAAATGGTCATGAAAGGGATGACTGCTGGGGGCTGGTGTTCTCCCTCCGGCGGACCTAACTACCGCACATCGCACTCAGAGCTGCACCATGCAAAGTAGAAGCAACGTACCAGGCACAATTATGTTGGTCCAGTAGTACTTTGCGAGGTCAGTCAATCGTTCCAGTTCAACATCATTTACTGCCCATGCAATATTAAGCTTGCCACGCATGGATGGTGCATATAAGATGGTGGCTTGGAGTAGATTCTTCTCGTTTGTCGAAGCAGGGGAATTTGATATCTTCTGAAGCTGATCAGAGATAAATGCCTGCGTCAATGCTGAGCCTGAAATAGCCCCTGGGTAGGTTGCAGGAATCATTAGGAAAACGAGCACGATCAGTCATGAATAGCATTCGGCATAAAATTCCGGCGATGTTTTTTACATGATGTCAAAAAGTCCGCTCTCCATGTAAGTATTTTACATGATGTTTTTAATGTCAAAAAGTCCCTGCACATGTTATAGGCGCCCAACAAATGTGACCTCACCCAGCTTGATTTTTTACATGTAAATTACATGTGAAAACATCCAAAACTGTGTCAAAAATGTAAAAAACATGAAAGTTCGTAACATGATGCAAATGCTGAAGGAAACATGACTTTTTGACATGTAAATTACATGTAAAAAAACATCCAGAACCATGTCAAAAATGTAAAATACATAAAGTCATGCAGCATTAGAGCATGCTGCAATCGAAATCTATACTGCATGAAATGTGACCTTTTGACATGTAAATTACATATAAAAAAAATCCAGAACCGCATCAAAAATGTAAAATACATGAAGTCATGCAGCGTTAGAGCGTGCTACAATCGAAATCCCACACTATCGCACCCTCTGTATCCGTAGCGTCGCGCTGCCCCTCTGAATCTACATCGATGGTTTCTGGGTCACCATCGGTAGCCGTTGTACAAGAAATTGGAGCAGTACTTGATAGTATGTGCTGCAGTTCTGCTGACTGCAAGTCGATATCTTCCTCAATCTGCAGACTGTCAGCAGAGCCACAATCCGTCGATGGCTCGTCCAATCATTGCTCCACTGCGTCATCATCCATGCTGGCATCATATATTGAGAACTTCGAGGAATGCATCATGCACATAGGAAGGTGCACTGTCATAGGATTTCCCCAACCCAATCCACTCACTTGCATGAAAAATGAAAGCATCAGATTTAATCATCGAAGCGAAGTTTCAAGCATGTGGCCGGCCTCTCCCTTCATTTTTGACACCTGGCCTGCTTTCCATGATTCTTTCTCTTGGCTTTTTCCTGTTCGAGTTCTTTCTCTTGGCTTTTGCCCAGCTTTTGCCTGCCCGGTCACCGGTACGAAGGTGCACGTGATGACCCTTTTTTGACATTTTTGACATGGGTATTTTGGGGCAATGTAAAATACCTTGTAAATTACATGTAAATTACATGTAATTTACATCAATGTAAAAAACATAGGAGTTTCTTGCCATACGCTAGTCGTGAAGCTTATTCAATCAGATCCAGTGTGCTGAGCCTGACCTTTGCTTACTAAGCAGGCAGACAAGGAGACGTGCTCGTACCATGTTCTTAACACACCACTGCCAGTCATGGTGCTGCCATTTGAATTGCACTTGAAATCATCCACCGTCAAATGGGCGATTATGAATTTCCTGTCTCATATCCCATTAGCATTGAAGCTCAGCGAAGAGTACCTTGAACATGGAATGTTACCCGAGGACTGTGAGATCACACAGAGAATCTGTTCATCTCTCGATTTAGATGCGCTCAAAGGTGTGGCTGGTGACGTCGCCGGTGATGTCTGCACGGGAATATATCTCACAGGACAGGGTAAAAGTACACTTTTGTATTTTCATTTCACTTGCTAATGTTCCGCCCATGTTCGTCTATTCCCTCCATTGCATGGATATGTCAATTGTGGCGCTCAGGTGGCTTCAACATGGTAAGAATGATGTTTCTTTTGCGAGATAAGCTCTCATTTCGGCGCAGATTTACATGCTTACATTCAGGAATTCACCTGACTTGGTGGCCCGTGTCAATGGAAGCTGTGCTCAACAGGACAGCCTTCAACCGGATAGCATAATTGATCACAGGATAAGAACTGAGGTTTGATCTTGAAATGTCATGGTGCATATTTTTAATAATCTTTATTGTTATAGGTGGAGACATTGGAATGGGTACGTTTAAACACATCTATTCCTGTACCAAAGGTCTTGACGGTGCAAACAGACCCTCAGACTCCAGTCAAAGCGCAATACACTATACAAAACAGGGTCAGATGATAATACAGTAGTTCCATTTCGATGGCTTATCTCTGGTCTTATTCAGGTTATCGGCCGTAGCTTTGCAGAGGCAAAATTGTCCATGACCGCTGAACAGATCGAATCCATTATTTCCCAGGTTGCACAATTTGAGGCTCAACTCTGGCAAACACGATTTGATGCCATAGGCGCTCTGAAGAAGACTGAAGATGGCAGATTCACGGTTAGACCAACAGTATTGTCGTGCACTCTCTCCGTCAATTTGCATCATGACTGGGGACCGTGGACTTCATCTTTGGAATGGCTAAAGGTGTTCACTGCTGGCGAATTAGATCTCCTAGAAGACGATCCAGAGGAGTGGTGTGATATGCGTTCCACCTTTCGATTGGTCAACAGAGATGCGGAGACATCCACAGAGCCGATGCAACATATTGTATAATTCAGGACTTACTTTTGACTGCTTCTCGACGCTATGGATGAGCTCGCGATGGTCCTTCCCCATAAAGAATATGACCCTCCCGAAAACCCGTTCGTTTTGTTCGATGAAGACATATCTCCTTCGAACATTATGGTTTCGTACGACGGTTTCAGCCATTTGGTCAGTATCGTCGACTGGGAGGGATCGGCGATAATGCCTCTGTGGGCTTGTATGGGCAAAGAGCGCATTTTGAATGTCCAAACGCAAGATCATGATCATCTTCGTCAAGTCAGGCAGTCAACCCACGAGAATACAGAGCCCCTGATTCTTCACGCCAAGACAACGACCTTTCCATTACAGCTTCTGTATCACCACGTCTCAGCACGGGCATCTGTGTATTGGAGCATCGAGAAACTGAATAACCATTTTCGCTGGGTCATCTCTTCCTGTTGTGAAGATCACGCTCTCCCGTTCCGTAGGCTCCTGGAATTCATCAATGATGGTAAGTGGCAGTTCGGTTCTATTTTTCCTGCTCCGTTTATGTTGATTATCGTACTATGCTCAATAGATCACTAGGGTGTGGAGGTGTGCTCGGGATAGAAGACGTCTTTTGTCATGTGCGTGTGTGGATTTCTGCACTCGATGACCATCGCATGTCGTAGATAACATATTGACTCAGGCTCTCTCGCTCACTTTGCCATAGGCTATAAAATTGTTGTCATGTTGTCATTCTCTATCGTATATCTTCAAAATTCCGTGCATTCACTACTGCAATAGGCGGGAGGAATCGCCACACCACATTTTCTGGCTCTCCAGGAATGTCATGAATTCCTCGACTCGCGAGTTTCATATTGTCATCATGACTACATGCACTGCAGGTGGAAATTATCATCAATACAGACTGTGATCCAAAGTTGAGTAGTCATACTAGGAAACACTTAAGAGAAACAGGTCTGCAAGCGTGCAGAACAGAACATTATTCTGCGGCGCCACATAGCTTTAAAGCCCGACGACAGACTCCCAGGCCGGTGGCTTGATTCTCTCCTTTCAACAATTGATCGTCCTGAGCTCTTATAGGTTTATCATGGCCGACACAATTAGTGACACCGTAAAATATGTCCTACAGGTCTTTTACTTCTTGCTGTTAGCCTGTTTTCGAGACGTCTCTCACATTATTTCGTAGAACAAGGGGTCGATTCAGACACACATGGCGAAACACAAGGCAACATGGGGGCCAGAACCTCCTGCAGCTCAAGTCGAAGAAGGGCTCATAGAGGCTTATGTCCGTGTCAGACCTCTTCTTGAGCACGATCTTGACTGCGGGGCTTTTTCTTTAATCGATATTCAAGGACGCCACACTGTTCACTTCACGCACCCTACAGTGCGTGCCATTGGGTAAGCCATAGCTCGATGCTACGCCCTGTCCAAGCTCATACAAACATAGAGGGCGATTTTCGACGAAGAGCTTCAGTGCATGCTCAGTGTTTGGAGCAGACACGGACAATGACTCTGTGTATACGGCTATGAATGTGGCGCAGACTGTCCAGCAATGTTTGGACTTCAACAGGAGTGAGTTGTCGGTACTAGCGTACGGGCAAACAGGTACCGGTAAGACGTATACCACGACCGCATTAGAAGGTATGCTATTGCATTGCTATCAGAACGGCGGTCACCATACTCATTGGCTCAGAAAGGATCATCAGTCATATTTGTCAAGGGGGAGCGTTGCAAGCATGCACGATTTCCGTTGAGGCGTTCGAGATCAGAGGCCTTTTGGCTTATGATCTTCTATCAACACCATCGCTTGCACCAATCAGAATTCTGGCAGCCGGTTCTGGGGCAGTCAATTATCTCGGTCTAACCAGGCACAGTGTACTTAGCCAAGAGCAGCTTTCTGAATTGTTATCTAATGCGAAAGAGCTGCGGTTGACGAGAAGTACGGTGAAAAACAGTACGAGCAGCCGGTACGTCTTTCGCAGCTTCTTCGACATCACCAGGCTGAGTGCGGTAACATAGGTCCCACTCGATCATACGGATCCACATAGAGTCCAAAGAAGACGGCTCGAAAAAGTCATGTATCCACATCATCGATCTCGCTGGTACGCACTATCAGTGTATCGGACGAAACATCACCAGAATTCCACTGCAGGTTCCGAGAGATCGAACATATTAATCCAAAATGACGCGGAGCGCATGAAGGAATCCATTGAGAGTTCGTAAACATCGTACTAGTTCTTCATCTTCACCATGAGATCTGATAACCATCGTCAGCGAACAAGTCACTCGCTGCGCTCAAGGATTGTATCCGCGCGAGATTGAGTAGCAGCGGTCACGTACCTTGGAGAGGCAGCCGCTTGACGATGGTGCTTAAGGACATCTTCGACCGCTCGCAAGATATATCCGACCGTACTACGAGCAAGCTCATGATTGTGGCATGCGTGAGCCCCAGTCCGCTGGACGTGGAAGACACATTGAACACGCTGCGATACGTGACTGTATTCCAGGTGGGTGCATGATTATCGTCTCCGATCCAGCAGTGCCGTTATGCCTACGGCAGTTGAATGATGGGGCGAAGTGTACCGAAATGAGAGGAACTATGGGGTTGACTCTGCACGAAGATGCCATGAAATGGGGCCATGCGGAGAGCGTGGTATGTCTTTACTGTTGGAGATCAGCACAGTCCGTCATTGGTGGCGCGAATCTAGGACTATATCACCCGCAACTACTCCAAGCTCGCACCAGTCTTGCATAGGCTCCTCAGAACTCCTACAGTAATAATGGCAGATCTTCTTCCTCTATCAGCCGCGGAGCTATCGAAGCTTTGCTCCACGCCCACACCTGAAGAAGAAAGCGGGAGTCTGCCGGCGCCAAACGCTCGAGAGGTGGCTCAAGCAAAAAGCTGGCTCACGACCTACAGGGCTAAGATGGATGTGCTGGTTCAGAAGTCCCAAGCGCTGCACGAGCAGATAGCGAGGCTCAAGCTGCAGAACTCGGTATCGGCAGGGAATGCTGTTCTGCGCGCCCTCGATGGGAGAGATCCCATGGCCGGCGAAACGGGACTGGTGACGAGAATCGACGGCAGTGGTCGCGCGAAGTCACATTACAAGAGATCACACTAAAGCGAAAATGCATACCATGTTGCGTGCCGAAGTTGACGAAATCGCATGATCTCTTTGACTAGCATTATCCGTACGCCGTCGTGCCGAAGTGCAGTGTAATCGATTGGAACTTAGTATTGTTTTCGGGGAAACGAAGCGCAGAGTGTCGATGGTGGCTCATGCGTTTCTATCTCTATGTACCTTTCTCAGCTCCGCTTTGTGAGGTTCTGACCTTGAGGGAAACTTCAGCCGACGGCAAGCAGCATGAAAGTAGTTAGTGTGCTCACTTCATTGATAAAGTCAACATCCCGAAAATTCACCCTGGCCGCACTGAGTGACTAAATGCAATCATAGCTTTCGACACATCCGCGCTCTAAATCACGGTCCCACAGGACGATGCCAAAGGTCCGATATTTTGGACGAGCCGTTTACCTGCGAAAATACGAGGATGTTGCAGACTACTAGGAACTCCTCGCCCTCGTTCAAGTGTTTGTTCCCAAAGCATGCCCATAGTAAAACTACAGAAGATCCTTCCGATAGTTGATTATGCCTATAACACACGCTAAGTCATCGCAGAGGGAAGGACATTCATTGGGGTAATATGTTCATGTAGGTTGGACGAACAGCATCTCCCGTAAACTGCCAGCGCAGCCACGCCATTGTCATTCCCTCCAGGAGCGGTCCCTCAGGTGTATTCTCAAGTAGGTCCAGCTCCATAACGCCGTCCTCGGCCAGTCCAGAGAGGCTGTCCGAGGTTCCCGGTTATGACACAGTTTAGCGTACCTATCAAACCCATAAACTTTCCCATCTTACCCCTCATCGAAAATTGCTGATGCATAGAAAAAAGGAGTTTGGATTCGTGTGGCAGTAGCCTGTGAAATGGGCCATCATGCTGTTGAGCTGCTAAGGAACGCTAGACGTCTCTCTATCCGACAACGAGGAGTGGCTTGTGATTAAACAGCATGCGGAACACACTGACTCTCATCTGCTCTTGGAGCACGTACCGCGCACATACGAGTTTCACGATTTGTCTCGGCAGCGAACACTCTTGGCGCTGGAATAGTTGCCATAGTCTCGAGGCACTGGCATTCTCAGGACCCTGGTGTAGCGGCCTGCACGAACATTCGTGAGCAGCATCGACAATGCGCCAATTAATGTGCCATGATACCATTTACAGACTCGGCCCGGAGCCGATTTTGTCAGCAATCGACGCATCCGGCTGCTCTTTGGAGTCTGATTTGGATGAAGCTGCCGTTTACGCGAGTAACAATGGCAGGCCGAGCGGATTGTAAACCGTGTGAAGGTGATATGTGGCGCAGCCTCCGTGAGGTTAGGTGAGGTTGAAGCTGCATACTTCCCACTCCCACGTTCATGCACACGTAGTCTCCAGCGCAATCGTGTCTTGAACAGTTCCTGTGGCATGAGACCTCCAGCTTGAGTTCCCCTTTCAAGTTCACAGCCGAGCATTTTTTAAGTTATGGCTCGCAGTTGATGGAAAGCACTGCCTATCGTGACACCGACAGCCTGTTCACGGGTAGTACTGCTTATTAGTGCCCTCCCCGGCGCTGCCCAGTGCTCATCGCCTCGGGGATCTTGTTCCGGTCCTATTCGGAGGTATACGGCGTCTTCTTCCATCAAGGCAATGTCCGCAGATGTATTCTTAGCAGGCTATGCATTGTACACAGCCTCACCTTTCTACAGCTCGAGAGAGCCTCGGGATACTCAGAGACTCATACTATGATGCAGGAATCTCTCCCTGAGGTAGCTCTAGCAGAGAAGTTGGGTTCAGTGCAGGCATTCAAGGTCGGTCCTGGACACAGTTTCACATTGACCCTTGTGCGATGCTCTGACAACTCGTCTGGTGACAGGGATCATGTTCGTACCTCGTCACTCTTTATGATCTTTCCGTGTCTCGCTGTGATACTTTGGTGATGGGAGATCAGGATGACATTGATTGCTACAATGAATTGCAAAAGTAGGTCAAGATACCATGAATGGTCATTTGACACTGACGAGATGCAATGTCCTTTAGGTGGTGTCTTGACGTTATCCAATGCTTAGAGCAATTGTCTACGCTTGATACAATAAGCCTTCTTACACAATGGCAGGTCATTCGAGCAGCTTTAGAAGAGTTGTATGATACCTGTCCGATCCTAGCTTGCCCTACGGTGAGACGATATGACCCTTCTTCCACCATGGAAAGCTGAGGCAATAGGCAGAAATTTCACAGCGAGCATGTTCATTCCAGCCTGAGCTCCCCGTTCCAACCTGGAGTCGAAGAGACTCTAGATGTTATCCAGATTGCTCTTTCCTCTCGAGATAGCGTTCATGCTCTGCTACGTTTAGATAGGTCTGATACAAGAGCAGTCGTCAACCTTCTCGATCAGGTCAGCACTATCATGCTTACCACTGATCACATAACGTTCTAGTCATGTACTCTGCTGTAGGCTCTAGAGTTCCTTGAATGGCCCAGTCGCCTGCATAGTACTGCTTCAAATCTGTTGCGCAAGCTCTGCATTCAAAGCGGATCGCTTCCGGACTCGCTGGAGATCTCTGAAGAGAACATCACAAGACATCATGACCATGCTATCGATGGAGGTGGATTTGCAGATATCTGGCTAGGCACGTATGGTCGCATCACAGTGGCACTCAAAGTGTTCCGTGTCTTCAGCAAAGACGACGCTCAGGTGGTCTACAAGGTGGCTGCTTCAGTATTCGATCATTTTGTGTAGTCGACTAACACTTGAAGCATGGATAACAGAAATTTTGCAAAGAGGCTATTCAATGGAAGCGCCTCTGCCATCCCAATATCACACCTTTTATGGGAGTAAATACCACACTCTTTCCGCTTTGCTTGGGTAGCGAATGGATGCCCAACGGCAGCGTTAATGTCTTTCTAAAGAAACGACCAAACGCGAACAGGCTGGAGTTGGCAAGTCACAGAGACACCCCGTTACCAGTTCTCTGCAACTAAGTATCGCCTGCAGCTGGTTGATGTGGCAAAGGGTTTAGAGTATCTCCATGCACATGGGTTATTCCACGGGGATCTCAAAGGCGTGAGTCTCGTGTCAGAATGTGGCGAACATGGTTTTTGATACTGATTACCCAGGCTAATGTGCTCGTTGACGAGACTTCCCATGCACGGCTTTCGGATTTCGGATTGGCAGCGGTTATATATGATCCTGACACTGTCAATTTGATGACTACGTCCTCTTGCGATCATGGGTCGATTAGGTGGATGGCACCAGAACTGTTGTTTCCAGAGCAGGTTGGGCTTAAAAGTGCTCGTCAGACGTTTCAGAGCGACGTATACTCTCTTGCGATGGTGATGTGGGAGGTCAGTCCAGTCCTATCGCTCGAGACGCAGAGCGGCTACTTATAGCATTGCCAGATATTCACTGGACGTATGCCGTTCCATGAAATACCGCGTGATCCTGCAGTTGTGTACCAGGTCACCATGCTAGGTACTAGGCCAAAACGCCCACCAGACGCTCTCTTGCTAGGTCTATCTGATGCCGTCTGGCGGCTCATGGAGCTCTGCTGGCGCACTGACTGGCGCGAACGTCCGATGATGGCCTTCATATTGCAACAGTTGGCAAAGGCGATCGAGGATTACCTGCCGGTCAACAGAGATGTCGAGACGACAGAACGCTTATGGGAAAACAGACTTCATGACAGCTCAAGCACACGTGTGAGCTCCATCATGCGCCACAGCTATGACACAGTCTCGCTTCCTACAGGCTTGATGTCGAAGACAGCCTCGGATAATGTGACTTCCGCATGCTCGAATGCAAATGACCCAGGCAGCTCGTGGATCCGAAACGACGAAGAGAATCTCGAACATATACGTGACGCCGCGCAATTGTTCATCGGAACGGAGAGGAAGTACGTTCATGGCTTGGAGATCCTACAGGTGAACTTCCTAGAGCATACGCTGTCCCTCACCTCTCATAGTTCGACGTGCTATGCAGGATTATTCCAGAGAAGCGTTCCGTACGGACGCCGCGATCCCGCTTTATAGCATATTCTCTGCTCTTGATGCTATCTTGGCATTCCAACGTAAGGTGCTCACTCGTCTAGAGATCACTTCAGAGGCACCCTGGCTGGAGCAACGTTGGGGATTACCTTTCGTAACCAAAGTCAGTCAATGATATCTACTGTGTACAAAGCTCATCTCAGTAGTCATTCTTCAACAGGAGCATGAGTTCGAGGCTTATGAGGCATACTTTATTGCCTACCCTGCAGTCGAATGCTTTCTCAAAAATATGCACAAAATGAAGGTATGTTCTACCCATTGACTATCCGTCCGAAGCTGCAGCGGGTATGCAGCGCGATGTATCCCACCTATTAGTGCTCACCAGCACGCTAGATGATAAATGATGTGCATGACATAAAGGTCGCCGATCTGCCAATGTTGCTAGTAAAGCCCTTGCATAGGATCCACGCCTATCCGGCGCTTCTGAAAGTGAGCTGATGTAATTCGCTGCTGTGTATTTATTTTCAACCTTTGCCTTGCTTAGTCGCTCTCGGAAGCTGTTGTCGGAACAGCCTACGCACATTACCCTGAACTGCAGGCAGGGTTGCGAGCAGCCGAACGTATCAGTGACAGACTGCACAAAGTCTATCGATCGGCAAAAAACACATTAATTTTGGGCACTCTGCCGAGACGTCTCATCAAATGGGAAGAATCTGAAGTCTCGCAGCTCGGATCGCTGCTGCTCAGTGATTTTTTTACCATGCCGGGTGACAAGGACGACGGATTACATGCCTTCCTGTTTGAAAAGGGTATTCTCCTCTGCAAAGAGCTACCGGGATTTCTCCTTGGATCCAAACGCACTCGGAAGAGAGCTTGGACTCTGACAAAGCCCAAAAGCCCAACTCAGCTTCCTGACATGGACACCCGCCTGATAGTGGAGACCCACATTTCTCTGCAGACGGAATTTCATGTAGCTCCATACTCGCAAGGTGTGATGATCTCGTAATCTAGCCGATGGATGCACTAGTGCTCACTGAGCACACATAGGTCAACATTCGCTATTTATCTGGTGGAACGGTGATGATGGGAGTGACGATGGACACAAAGTCCTTTGCTGCCAGGACGTGACACAGCTCAGGGAATGGGAAGGAGAGCTGAAGCTCTTCGCTGCTCGGAAGGACGCACAGCCTCCTACCTCGGACATCGTGCATCCTCAGGAGATCCAGGGCACAGACGATCAGCTATATTTCGATGACTTGTCTTTGACAGAAGAAGCAAGAATCCCTGAAATTGTGACGACTGCAGCAGGGCCCTCCGCTGATCACCATGCTGTTCGAACTCGATCGGGATCCTGGAGTACACTGCGTCGCAAGTTCAGTTCCGCAGCTCTGAGCACGAAAGTCGCATCGGGCAAATATCCTAGTTATGACGGTGCTGCCTCACATACCACATCCTCCCTACGTCCGCGCAGTGGGAGCTTCCCTTACGCTAGGCCTGATCCGCATATTGGACTCAATCGAGCTCGTGCTACGCCATCTCCGCTGTCCAGATCAGTTGATTTGCCACTCACGGGAGAGAACAATCGCGGCGAACAACTCAGGACCCAGACACCCAGTGTATACGATGAAACGGCCAACTTATTGGCTGCTGCGACGGATTCCGGTACGCCAGCACAAACAACAGCGGTAGACATAATTGTGCATCCATCGCCAGCCAACACCGATCCTTTTCAAGATGGCAGGAGCAGCATCTTCCCATTTTCCATATGGGACAGGCTTCGTCACAAGCTGAGCTCTTCCAGCTTCAGGGCCAGTGATGATGCCGATGATCTTCCTACATCACCTCCTAATGCTGGCCTACTTGTACCCCCAAGGAACCGTGTTCGCAGTGCCAGCGATCCTATTGCCAGTAGTCGTCGGACGTAGCCATCGACTGCTCAGCCTAGACGACTCGTTTGCGGTATTCGGGATGAGGCTGGCTTTTGTTCAGGACTTTTGTCATCAGTTATCTCTATGATCGCTGATCGTTTCCGGCAACGACGGGTGCACTGGCCGATGCAGAGCGCAGAGATGCATTACTGATGCAGGATCATTGTATTACAATCGAAACCATACGAATGTACCGTCCATTGCAGATTCATCTGAGTCGGAAGCATGCGGCTAAGTGGTATGAGCATGCGCTGCGCACTTTATCTGCAGTTATCGGTTGCTATACAGCACCCATCGTATCGCCTCCGATACCGCGCCAATACTTGTTATTGACGTCCTTCTACTTCGCCTCGCGGATGGGGCAGGTCGCCCATCCACGCCTAGATCATCCATCAATCTATCAATCACTTCATTCATTGCATAGGAAATACTAACCGGGGCCCATGCCAGATTTATCTCTCTCCTGCTTCTCTCGCAGTGAGCGTTCGAGTGCTTCGAATGCATTGAGCGTGATGTCTCGTAAAGGATCTTGTTTTGCCCTTTTATTTTCATTTCGTGGTCCAGCAGCTCTTACGTCTTCAGGCCACTCCTTTTCCGGTATTTTGCGCGCCATTAACGTAGTTCGCAGTGCCTCCATAGCTAGCTTGTAATCCTCAAGTGCTGCAGCATATAGATCGTACACGCATATGGCACATCCCGACATGCAACATTCTGGTTAGAAGATAAGAACTACAGGAACAGCTGGATTGAAACATTCGAAATGCCTTACCATCTGCTTCGGGTTCGCTGGGCTTATCTGGGACAACAAATCCGTCGAACATCCTAGGTTGTTTGCCTTTCCATCCTGCAGTCCCCGGCACGCCCACATGTGTCCCACTTGCCTCTGAAGCAGATTCATCACCATCTGCCTCGGTCACGAGTTCGTTGATCTGTTTAGCATACGCTCCCTTGCCTCGCAAGGAGCGTTCAAGGCGCTGCCATCGCGTGGTCAGATTCTGCGGACGAGAGCGCGTCTTCTGCTGTTCGATCTTGACCTGTGTCAGCAGAGGATAAGGCCGCGGAGCTGTCTGCACAAGCAACCCGCTTGGAGCTAGTGTTTGCGGTTCTCGTGTGAGTGAGATGGGAGATGGAGGAAGGGAGTCCCGGGTATCAATAGGCACATGAATCGTGAGCAATCGGCATGGGGAGCGCGTTATGGATGTCGGCCTGGAACGATAGTAATGGCACGGTTGCCGCTCACGCGTACGACCTAAGACGGACGCAGCGACGGCGGCACGATGTAGAATGGTCATCCACGATGCGCATGACAGTGAGCTCTGTAAGATCAGAAAAGGAGAGAAGCTCCCACGATCACGCTCTAGGACCAAGAGACGTTCTCAAGCGCCCATATAGCGTTGTACCCTGCACGCACGAGCGATTTCAAGACCTTGTCTGCTCGTCGTCGACGATGGCGGGATCGTCCAGTACGGCCTTCAAGACGTTTTCTCTTACCAATAACATTCTGGACCTCTCTCCTCAAGACGAGATCTATCGCTTTGATCCTGAGGAGAACAGGAAGATCCTTCGCGATCAACCATGGGTTCGTGAGTGCGTGTACACAACTGCCTTGTGGTCCTTAGCTCAATGGACATGATTGCGCTATGCATACGAGATGGGCGACTCTGGTTCTTTTTCTATGCCTGAAAGGATACAAAATGGGACTGATTGGTATCGACCGTCCGACCGTTGCCCGAGCATTTGTGGAGTGCATCGTTCTAACCGCTCATCGCTTCATCGGATATTTTATCGCTTCTGGCGTTTCAGAGAGGAGAAAGCCCATTTGTGTGCTGTTCTCTTTGGCTCCAGATGGTAACGGAGTGTCTTACACGCGCCGTGGCGCGTATTGAAAAGCATTAGTTGACTACTGGTGCTCTTCTACAAGAGTTCCGAGATCATTTTACGATTTCGTATATCGTATGTGTCGAGCGTTTGTACTCATCTCGCTTTCACAGCCCGCACTACTTCAAAGTATGCAAGATCTCAGCCGTTGCGCTGATCAAGATGGTAGGTCGCCTTCAGTGGCTCCGATATGCATCTGACCTTATTAAACCAGGTCATCCATGCACGCTCAGGCGTGCCTCATGAGATCATGGGCATGATGCAGGGAAAGGTCATGGACCATGTGCTCGTCATCATCGACTCGTTCGCACTGCCCGTGCAAGGGACAGAGACGCGCGTCAATGCAGCCAATGAGGCAAACGAATACATGGTGCAGTATATTCAGGCGAGCGAGCGGGTATGTATGAATTGCGGAACAGTCTATGCTCGTACTCTTACAATACTTTACCTCCTCGCAGGTAGGGCGTTTGGAAAACGCGGTTGGATGGTACCACTCGCATCCCGGCTATGGCTGCTGGCTGTCTGGTATTGATGTCAACACCCAGATGATGAGCCAGAAGTTTCAGGACCCTTTCGTCGCGGTTGTCATCGACCCTAACCGCACCATTTCTGCTGGCAAGGTCGATATTGGTGCATTCCGGACGTATCCCGAGTCGTACACTCCTCCAGACGCCGGTTCATCGGAATACCAGTCGATTCCGCTGAATAAGATCGAGGACTTCGGCGTGCACGCGAACCAATATTACCCTCTTGAAGTACAGGTGTTCAAGAGCAGTCTTGACGCAGAGTTGCTTGGTCTTCTGTGGAACAAGTATTGGGTGAACACACTGAGTCAGAGTGCCCTTATCTCAGTGAGTGTCCGGCAATGGATTGGTATGATGATGGCTAAGAGTGCTGCCTCAGAACCGAGCATATGCAGCTTCGCAGCTTGCAGATCTCGCTCAGAAACTTACTAAGGCTCAAACGTCCGTGTCCGCCACTAAGGCCCCACCACCTGCTCTGAAAGATGACAAGGTTGCTAAGGTGCGGTAAAAAGCTCAGTCTCAGATCTGACCAGGACCCTTATCACGCGAGAGGACAGAAGGAAGAGAAGAAGAAAGAGGACCAGAATCAGCTTCTGAAGGGCGTGAAGGATAGGTTGGTCATTGACATTTCCGCTATAATTCCGGGTTTTGATCATCATGCGGGCAATACAGTGACAAGATTGCGACGGAAGCGCAACATGGATTGATCTCGCAGATACTGAAGGATGTCATCTTCTCGCTGCGCCCTCAGGACGCGGTGCACACCGAGCTTGACGACGCAATGGCCATTGGCTAAACCATGCCTTCCAAGGGAGGCCTCGATCAGTATAAAATCCCTGCGTGCGTATTCTGTTGGTCATATCGTGTACCTGTTGTTGTACGTTTCATCGATCCATTCACGCCTTTATTCGCAAGTCATCTGCTGTAGATTTGATGTAGTATACAGTGAATTCACATGCTTCTGCGCGCTATTTATTCTATTGAAGGATGCAATACGAATGTGCTCGATGACTGGTCTTGTCCATCACAACTTGAAAGGCAAGGCGAACGCCACCGAGGCCTGACAATGCAAACCGTACGTTAAAATTTGCTCAAAGCGATGATGACCTGCTCATAACCGCCACGGTATATATAGTGTTCCACTCATGATTTCTAACGCTGGCAATGTACACGCCACCGGCTTTGCTGCGACGTTGTAACGGCCATTTAATCAAAGATTCCGACGCATCACCCTGGACAAAATACTACGCGACAGCCAGGTCGTACTGAGTCACGAACGATCAGCAGGCTGACATGGGAGAAATGTTGCGGGGCACTGCAGGAAGCCCATGTTCGCGATCCAACATCAGCTTCGCATGGTCTCGCTTACCCACGCCCTACATACTATAACATTGCTTTCGCTCTGTCACCTCCCGGTCGACGTAGTAGTGCATGAACGCGACTATAGGTTGCACATTTAGTGCCGTCATACTCGCTCTCTCGTATGTTCAATTGACACAACGGTTGCCCACCAGTTGCCGCACGTCTTTGGAGGTTCCTTTCCGCACATCACATGGCTCACATTCAGAAACACGGATTGGCACAATAAACATTGGTACGGTACAATTTGCATTTGGTCCGAATCCCGGTTGCTACCTTGTCATCTCTTGGTGACCTCAGCTTGTTCGTTCAAGTAACACCTTTGCAAACATTGACGTCCCTCCTACAAGGTTTTCACAGACCAATTAGGCTCGCACGTTACCTATCTGTCCGGAGCACAATCCAAGCTGATTCCAAATGACAAATTTGGCTATTGACGTACGGGGATGGCCTGTGCTTACGTGATCCCTAAGTTGCGATTCGGCCCGTTTTGTGCACGGTTCATACGAAATATTGCTTTGGTTCATACGGAATATTTCCTCCTACGAAATATTGTTTTCATTCCACAACTTGCCCTCATTTGCGATATCCGGCTCCTCAGGCCTCATTGCTTTCTACCTCCTGTCTTCTCTGTGCTGGACATCCTCATGTCGCTCTCCATGTCGTTCACCAGGTGTATTATTAATGCATTTGATATCTGCTTCACCGGTACGTTTGTCCACTCCTCTGTGGCGATGTCTGCAGCGCTGATTATGTCGTGTCTCCTTCCTTCACAGTCGTCGCTCTTGTTGTGTACTACACCTGTTTATTCCTGTTCATTCCTCCACCGCTGCCTCTGCCGTCTTCAGTGAACGGGTTACATGATTCGCGTATTCATTATGCTCGTGTCTATAGCACCCTCCCGGTGAGGGGTGACAATTTTAAGCATGTGCGGTTACATCACATTACGGGCCTGGCTACTCCTCCGGTGGAGGGAGCCAATTGAAGATCTTGTGTCTGTCTTTCTGATGATGTCAGCGGGTTCTCCGTCATGTTCAGTTTGTCATATTTGCTTTCTATTCATGCAACTGTTACGTTCACCGGTTTGCATCGTCTCCGAGGACACCGACGACTTCCACACCATGATGCACAACACTGGCACCATACTGTCCAGTTCCGCTGCTGCCAGACTGTTACTCGTCGACGCTTTGTGGCAGCCTAGTGACTACGATCTATACACGCCACATAGTCAGTGGGATGTGGTACTCGACTACATCAGCAACTTATCCGGTTTCGTGATCGAATATGTCATAGATGCATCAGACGAGGAGAATCAGGAGCAACCGTACCCCTGGTTGAAACAGGGAATGGACTGTATGGCTCGAATCACCAGACCAAACATCCACGTCGATCTTATGTGTAGCCACAATGAATCGGCCTTCTACCCACTATGCTTCTTCTGGTCGACCATCATCATGAACACGATCTCCGCTGACATGATCGTGTCGGCATACCCCACACATCTTCTCAGCCATCGCAGTATTTGCTCATACACCATCAGTAATTATCGGTAAGGCACTCACTACAAGGAGAAAGTACGAAGACTGAGGTTTCTCGTTCGATGACATCCACACCATGTCCTGCACTCACTGGAGCTGCCCTTACTGGCAACGGTTCTTGTCAGATGATGGATGCCTCAACCTCTGTTGGAAAGAGACCACTCAGGAGCGATGGGGAGAATGGGGAGGAATGGAATGACGGGTTTGACAGCGCAGTCATGTGGTTGGCGTGCACCTACATGACGACGCGTTTCACGTAGTAAACACCTCAGTCGAGTACGCCATCGTACAGCATGGCTGAGACATAGCGTTACATTCATAACAGGTTATGAGCCCCAAAGAGCGCATATAGCCATATGAAACATCGCATCAGCCATCGACTCTCCAATATTCAAGAACCAATCGACATAGTCATCACATTCACATTAATATTCGTGCTCAATATTCCACCATGGTGGCTATCACCGACGTGAAGGTGCCCATCCTCCCGGAGAGCCAGCAGCTTGGCAAAGCCAACTGGTTCGACTGGAAAGGCAAGGTCATCACTATAACCAAGATTCGAGGACTATATGCGCACCTCACCGGAACCCTTACACACTCACCCCCGGCATCTCCAGACGCGGATCCAGGTGACATCACACTCGCCATGGCAGAGCAGGAGCTGTGGAATAAACACGACGAATTTGCGAAGGCAATTATCACCCTGAATGTCATCGACTTTATCAGCACGAGGGTGGAAGAAGATGGAAAGACGGCGCACCAAGTGTGGACAGCTCTCATACAGAAATGGGAGCGGAAGACTGCATTGACAATCACAAATGCCGAGGATTATCTCAAGGCGTGTGTATGGGTTGAGGGAATGGACCTACAGGACCACTTCACCGAGCTTCATCACCATTGGCGCACCACACGTGACCTGGGGTCAATGTTCGATGCCGCTAGATTCGCAATCATCATATGCAATTCAATGTCGAACCTGCCATCCCTGCGATCCACCTGCACCTCACTCCTATTGCAAACTGATCCCGATGTCATTATGGACTCCATCCTCGCAGTCTTCGAGAATGATCGCATACAGGCCGATAACCCACTCAATCCAATGGGTACCAACCAAGTCATGCCGCAAACTACGAGTGTGTTTATGATGCAGGCTAAAGCCATGTTGATATGCGAGTGGTGCAGAGTGAAGGGTCACTTGCAGTCCAACTGTTTCTGTGAGGGCGGTGGACGAGAGGGTCAGTAGCCATCGGGTTGGACAAAGCCAGTCCCGAAGAAGGGCTCACCTGCAGCGAAGGCATTGGCAGCCAAGCAGGCCACGGCAGCGTCGACTGCAACTGCATTTGGAGCTGTGGCACCCAGCCCTCATGTTCTGCCACAAGCCCATCTTACCACTGCTACTGCTCATTCAGCGAACAATGCAAATGAACGTGCATCAGAGTACAACTATCACATTTTCTTGGCCAGCGCGCACCTCGTAAATCTTCCTCATGTTGAGCCTATCAACAACGGGACCTTGAGAGCATATGCGGACACAGGCGCCACTCACCACTGTTTTGTGAACTGTGCGAGCTTTGTCAACTACATGCCCCTCACTCCAACCTTGGGCAATGGAGCGAAGAAGGGCTCTTCCTTCAGTATAGTAGGGGTCAGAAATGTCGCTGTACAGATGATGGTAGGCGGGTGAAGATCCATCGTCACATTCCAGAATGCCATTCACACTCCGGACCTTGCGACTAACTTGATCTCAATGCTCTGCCTCGATCACGCTGGATATTCATTCTCTGGGGCAGCGGGAACAATGATGGTGATGGGAAAGGCAGGAAGGACCATGTTCACCTGCACTTTAACATCAGGAGACCTATATGAGGTGGAGTTCACCAAGGTTGACCTAGCGGACTTACCAGATCTCCCTTGCGCATACCTCACTTATGACCATCGTGCCCTAGCTGTCGATGGTCACAGTTCTGCGACTGACATTGCGACTTGGCATCGCAGACTCAGGCACATCAGCAAGCTGACCATCCAGATGATGGCACAGTCCAACGTTGTCTCTGGTATGACTGTGAAGGGAGAACATCCTACTGGAAAGTGTGAGGATTGTCTGAAAGGGAAACAGACTCGCGCACCGTTCCGCCCATCTGAGGTTGAGACAGAGCTCCTCGAACATGTTTATATGGACTTTATGGGGTCTTTCCCCGTTACTTCCCTCGGCAGTGCACGCTATCTCATGACCATCGACGACGGTGCATCATCCTATACCATGGTGTACCCCCTCGCAAACAAGTCCATGGACGAGATGTTGGGATGCTTTCAAGCTTTCCACTGCATGGCCGAGCGGCAAACCGGTTGCAAGCTGCACCACATTCATTTCGATAATGGCACTGAGTTTAATAACGAGGCCTGGACGGCGTATTTTCAGGACAACAGCATTGTTGCAGAGCCGACCGTACCTTATACCCCCCAGCAAAATGGTGTGAGTGAGCGAGGCCATCGCACCCTCGCTGACCATGCCCGCGCTATGCTGTATGATGCAGGTGTCCCAAATTACCTCTGGGCTGAAGCATTCAACACTGCTGCTTACCTTAAGTCTCTGACTTCCTCTGCGAGGCAGAAAGGACGTACTCCATATGAACGCTGGCATGGCCGTATATCTAACATAGTGCACTTGCGTGCGTTTGGATCTGTTGCATGGGCCAGGATTACCGATGACACTCGGAACAAGCTTGATCTGAAGTCACGCTGATGCATTCTCGTGGGCTATACTGATGATGTGAACTATCATCTGTGGGATCCTACTGCTGGGTTGAGGGGAGGAATCATCCGTTCACGCGATGTGGTCTTCGAGGAGGCCAAGGGTCACCGCACCTGTGAGTCTGCTGATATCTATAGGCAGAAACATGCCATTCCTGCCCCAGCAGATCCTCCTGCACCTAAACTTGCATCCGACACTGTTCTGGCATCACAGCATGGGGGAGTCCCATCTGCACCTCTTCATATGCCTGATGTCCATACCGCTGCACCAGTGCCAGCTCCCCTACCAGTTGCCACACCCCACCACTCTACGTGGCAGCATGTCAAGAGTCGAGCATTGCGTGAGTCGTGTGAGGCCACCCAACGTGAGGACGAGGCCCGTGCATGCAGTGAACCTTGGGCAAATGACAAGGTTACGACGTCTGAGGCCTATGTCACGGCATTCACCACCAACGATCATTCTGCATCTGTTGCTTCATCAGACCCATTCATATATGAAGGCGGGACCTGTCCTACCACGTACAAACAGGCCATGGCTACACGCAAGATATGGGCACCTGCGATGGACAAAGAAATGGATGGTCTAATCAAAATTGGGGCTTGGAAGCTCATACCTTGCCAGGTTCACATGAATATCGTGGGATGCAAGTGGGCATACACTCAGAAGTACAACGATGTCAGGAAGTGGAAACCGAAGACACATCTTGTCACCAAGGGGTTTCATCAAATCCCAGGCGTCAACTTCTTCAAGACCACTGCATCGGTTGTCCGTTTTGAGTCTCTTCGCACTGTCTGTGCCATTGCTACACACCATGGGATGAAAATGGGACAGGACGACGTTGAGAAGGCTTACCTCAATGCTACCCTCTCAGAATTGGTCTATATGTCCCAACCACCAGGCTACAAGGACGCCGAACACCCTGACTGGGTCTGTGCATTAGAACGTGCCCTGTACGGGGTCATGCAGTCTGATCATGAATGGTGGAATGATCTCGACAGCACTTACCAGGACTTGGAGTTTATGCGGTCCCATGCCGATGAGTGCGTTCGTGCGTGCATTGACGATCACGGGCTCTCCATCACCGCTACTTATACCGATGACATAAGTTCCATTGCTGATTCTGCAGATGGGCTGGCCGTTACCTGCAGAGACTTGGCAGCGCACTACAAGCTTAGTGGGGGAGGTGAACTCACCTACATGCTTGAGGTTGCTATCGAGTGCGACCGAGCTAAAGGCATGCTGCGTTTGACCCAACGTGCGTACACCTTGCGCGTCCTAGAACATTTTGGTATGCAAGACACAAATCCTGTCTCGATGTCTCTGGAACCCAGCATGAAGCTTTTGAAACTGACTAACCTTGTCACACCTGATGACGCAACAGTGATAGCGACCATCCCGTACCGCGAGGCATTGGGATCGATTATGTACCTCGCTATCGCAACTCACCCTGACCTCTCATATTCCATGCAGGTTCTTAGCTGATACATGGTGAATCCAGGTATTGAACACTGGCGAGCCCTCAAGAGAGTACTGCGTTATATCAAGGGGACAGTGGACTACGGGATCACTTACTATAGCATAGACCACCCAAGGTCGACTCTCCAACCTGTTCTATACTCAGACTCATCCTATTCTGACTGCATGGACACTGGTCATTCAACACAGGGGCACATTATGATCATGGCAGGTGGGCCTGTGTCTTGGAGCTCGCACCGCCAGAAGGTCGTGGCCTTATCGACCACTGAGGCAGAATACATTGTAGCTGTTCATACCAAGCAGACGGCGATATGGATAGAGAAGTTCATGGCTGACGTGTTCCTTCCAATCAGCACTCCAGTGGTCATAAAGATGGACAGCACCAGTGGGGAGAGTCTAGCAAAGAGGGCAGTAAATTTTACGTGTGTCAGGCACTGCAACGTGCGATATCATTGGTTGCGCGAAGCGATACGACAAAAACAGATTGATATCGCGCACATACCCGGGACCGAGAACCCCGCCGATATTGTCATCAAGCCACTCACACAGCCCACCCTTCACAAACATTTGGACATGCTGGGTGTCACGGTCTAGGAGGAGTGTTGTCAAGAGACCACTCAGGAGCGATGGAGAGAATGGGGAGAAATGGAATGACGAGTTTGACAGTGTGGTCACGTGATTGGCGCGCACCTACATAACAACGTGTTTCACATAGTAAACACCTCAGTCGAGTACACCATCGTACGGCATGGCTGAGGTGAGTCTCGGACATGTTTTTCCTTGCGTTTATCGGACATTGGACTGACTTTATCGGCTAGATGTAGTGTTACATTCATAACAGGTATGGTATAGTAGTACAGTCGAGTATGCCATCATATGGCATGGCTGAGATATAGCGTTACATTTATAACAACCTCGTTTTCGACAACGCACGCACCCACACAGTCAGCGATGTTTTTATCTCGTGGCGGATCAGAGACTTACCCTGTGGTAGGCCGTGTACGATAACAGAATGAGGGCCCAACATCTGGGCGGGGTCTCAAGATGACATGAAAGAAGTCTGAGACAGCTTCCCGTAGCTGCAACATGTTGACTTTCCCAGCCAGCCCTTTGTGCAGCCAGGAGTTCAAGAGTTGCCCGCTCTCTACAAGATGGCTCCATGGGGCCAAACTGATGGCCTGTCCCATTGTAGCCGTGCCCTATTATATACACATGCACTACTACTCTCCCACACCGGTGGTGCAGGTCGCACTGGGGCCTCTCGCATCTGTGCTCTGCGCCCAGATTCCAACATGCCTTCTCGACCTAGCCACTGCTGTGTCTATCCCATTGTGGGCCACACGCCTGTACTGCACTTCCTGTCCCCAGGGATGCCGGTCTCCATTCCATGTGCTTCCCTGCCCGCCTCGGTCCGTATGCCAGTCCCGGCGCCCCCTGATCTTGGGTCCCAGTCTCCGTACCATACGCATCCCGTACGTGCCCATTTTCGGTGACTTTCTATAGCGCCCCCACGTGCTTGTCGCTCACTCGGTTTGCATGCCAGTCCTGATGCCCCTTGGATTCGGGTCTCAGTCTCCATTCCATGCACACTCCATGCAAGCGCCTCGCTCAGCTTTTCTTCAGTGCTCCGCATGCTGTGGCTGTGCTGCTTCATCAGACTGCCGGCCTGTCTCGCTCAGCATCTGCTCGGCCTGCCCTTTGACACCCTGCTCTGCCCTCACCTCGCTGGTAGGCCCACCTCATGCAGTGCCTGCCCCCCTGCACCTGGTGTCTTGTATCACTGCAGCGGCGCCCCATGGTCAACTCTTTGGCCCTCACCCTCCTGCCCTCGACCTCCTGATCCCACCTCTGCCCGGTCGCATCTGTCCCTCAGCTGCCCTGCAGCCTTCACACCTCGGTGACCTGCTCCAGCTCCCAGCCCTTGACCTGCCAACTGGATCACTCACCAGTCAGCATCATGGTCCCCAGCAGGAACCTCGTAGTGGTGGTTCTCATCGATTGCGGTGAGTGCCTCTTGGTCAATGGTGATCAGTTTGTGTTGACTTTCCCAGCCAGCCCTTTGTGCAGCCAGGAGTTCGGGAGTCACCTGCTCTCTAGAAGATGGCTCCACAGGGCCAAACCGATGACCTGTCCCATTGTAGCCGCACCCTATTATATACATGCACGCTACTACTCTCCCACGCCGGTGGCGCAGGTCACACCGGGGCCTCTTGCATCTGTGCTCCGTGCCCAGATTCCAACACAACATGTATTCATCATTTTACGACAATGCTCGAAGTCGTTCGTTTCTTTAAGTGATTCATCCTATTTGGCTCTTGCCTGCGTTGTTGCTGTTCACCAACATGAGGCTGCAGAGATGTAATATAGAGCTATGTTCGCATAAGTGATACACACCACATCTTCTGCTACTGTGATTGAGTTTTCGTGTCATTTGGAACTGGCGCCCAGCGCCTCTTCAACCAAGTTTTGAGAGCGTTCAGTAACTTTCGCCACATCCACCCAGCGTACTCCCCACCCACCGTACTCCCCGGCTGTGGCACGTGATGACGGAGCATACCTTTCCCGAAATGGATGGCCACCCTGAACAGGTGGCGGCACCTCTTCCCAAACGACTCCAAGCGACCAGCTTCGTTCTGTTGCCGGTTTCATTGTTGTAGCAGAACAGAGCGGGTTATTGTAAGGGAAGAATTCACAGGCTCCTTGATTATTCTTGTACGTCCTGTCTACTGCGTCTGCTGCACGTTATAAGGACGAAACGTCTGGTTTCTCTTCTCAAGCTCTGCCTACCTCTACCAAATCCATTATGCACATAAGACACTCGGCACGTTCATTCGCAGTGTTCTCATTGCTGTGTTTTGCGTGGCTGCCGGAAGTTCGCGCGTGGGGCGCAGCCGGCCACCAGATCGTCGCTACGATCGCGCAGATACACCTCCATCCAGCCGTCCTCCCCGTACTTTGTGACATTCTCCACCCACCCGACGTGCCTCCATCCGCTTTGTCGGCAGCCCCTCCTTGCCATCTTTCCTCCATCGCGACCTGGGCCGACCAGGTGCGAGGCACCCCGGCATATCGCTGGACATCTCCGCTGCACTACATCGGTGCCGTCGACGACCATCCCAGCGATGCCTGCGAATTTCCTGGCGAGCGCGGCTGGAACGGGCGGCGCAACATGAATGTCCTCGCTGCCGTTAACAACAAGACCGCCATGCTGGGCGAGTTCCTCGACGGCGAGCGGAGTTGGCACGAAGGCGAGGAGGCGCTCAAGTACCTCGTGCATTTTGTGGGAGATATGCATATGCCGCTGCATCTGACTGGCAGAGAGAGGGGAGGGAACGGCGTGAAGGTGACGTTCGATGGCCGTGTTACCAGTGAGTATTTTATTTTCTTTCGGAAATCCTTGGTGCGTTTAGCGCTACACGCCTGCGGCAATATGATGAAGGAAGGGTTGGGCTTTGCGTTCATTGTGATGCACATATTCTCGCGAATATTCAGACTGACACCTCCCCGCAGACTTACATTCCGTCTGGGATAATCTGCTCGTCGCGCAGGCCCTCCGTACTGTGTCCTCGAACTATACCCGTCCGCTCGTGGGCGCTCCTGGCGTCGAGACCAACCTGCGGAACGCAATCTACGACCCGTACATCCGCCGAATTATGCATGAAGGCTTTGGCGTCGGTGTTGGCACATCTGAAGGCAACGGCCGATTCGACGAGGTCGACGAATGGCTCAGCTGCCCAGCAGATATTCAATCTCCCACAGACGAACCGTCTTTTGTCTGGAGAGCGATAGCACAGCTGGCGCAGAAGCTTCAGCGTATGATAGGTTTCGACGATCCGAGCTTGCGGGTGCAGAAGCGCGATCGTGCAATGAGGCCAAGGCATCATCCAGGAACGGCGAAGCAGAGCTCTACCTCGGGATGGCTATGGTGGAGCCAGGGAGAGGGGGACCGCTGGGACGACGAAGTGCTCTGTCCCTATGCGTGGGCCAGCGAGATTCACAAACTCAACTGCGAGCTTCCCGTCTGGCCCGCCGAGCTCGATGCGAACTCCTCTTCTATATTGCATAGCTGCGGTGGCGAAGATTCCGATGCTGAAGTGGAGGGAAAACCGCGTCCGCACCCTGACCTGCTCGAGCTCGATACGCCAAAGTATGTCGGGAACATCCGCACGCAGTGGGTTCTCGAGCGTCTGCTGGCAATGGCGGGCATCCGCCTAGCGGGGATTCTGAATGGCCTCATCCTCGGTTCCGACCCTGAGATGGAACATATCTTATTGTCTCCGGGGAGGACTCAATTGTGATGCATAGAAGTACTTGACAATGATAGGATTGGTGGCGCGTCTCTGCATATTGTATTTGTATTTGGGCTGTACAAGTTGTCTGTTGCTCGAGTAGCATTTGGATATCGGATTAGAGATACCATTTGATTCTTTTTTTGCCCAGAATTGAGCTGAGTGGAATGTTTAATGAAGGAGAACGAAATCAAAACGTGAGCGGCATGATGTCTGTCCTCAATGACATCGTGCACGGTACAGACCCGGAGATAGAGTATATTTCGTTGATTCTCAATTTGAAGCACGTCTTTGTGTGCTGATGCTACGTACGAGACCATGGCTGTCGTATGACGGAAGGGGGTTGACGCAGGTTGTACGCTCAGTCAGAGAACCCAGGATTGTGCCAGAAGAACTCCCCAATCATACAAAGTCCATGCAAGGTATCTAGTTGGACATTGACAATGTGCGTCGATGACAGTTTCGATGGAGTGTGGACAATCTATGTTGTTTGTATCGGTCAACGTTCAACGTTTCAACGCTCGGCGACTCCCATCGGCGAAAAAGAAAGACTTGTTTATTCAATATTGAGACATTCTCGCCTGACAAAGTACCACTGTATTTTCTTGCTCGTGGAGCTAGCAAAACGCCCCGTTTGAGCATCTTAAGCCGACAGGATGGCCATGGTTGCCAGAAAGGAGAATAGGTCGAGAAATGGCGCAAGCACGGGCGAGGATGTTCAAAGTAAGCGCCAAGATTTGCCCTGTAGTACCATGAACGGTTCGATCTTGACTGAGTCGTGCGCTTGACGATGCAGCTCATGCGATGGTATTCTTCGGCATCTAGCTTCATCGTCACTCATATTTTGCACTCCGAGCCTTTTGCAACCACGTAGTCATGATTCTCTCTTGGTGCAAGAATCTATATTATCCCATGTTCAACTCCTGGCATCGATTGAGCCCTTCAACCTGCGTCCTCGCAGTGCTCTGAAGCTATCTGTCTGCTATCAAGTAGGATGCGCTTGTTAGGATGCAATTTCACCGGATCGCCCTCTCCTGCTGTGTCCGATGCCTCTGTCAAGACAGCCGTATCTCCTCGTGCCAGACATGTGTCCCCGTGTTCAGCCCTCAAGTGATCACAGTATGTGACGATTTTCCGAGCGACGCTGGCTTTGCTGCGGACGAGGATATCGTAGAGGTTCGGTGATCGTCACACGACTCACGCGTATCACCTCTCGACATCCACCCAGTGGGAAGCACGGTATCTGCGTGGCTGATTCGTGGCTCTGGTAGCGGTGACAGCTTCGTCTAGGACATCAACCGGCTCTAGAGGCACTGCTCGACGTTCCTGAACCGCGAAGTCGACAGAGACCAAGCTGCACTCTCTGGATGGAGTGATCGCCCTTGAATTGTCTCGTCGTAAGACCATTTTCCTTTTGAGCCTAGGGTGAGATACTTGGCATGAAATGCAAAACGAAAGCCTATTCCGTTTTGCTCAGTCCATCAATGCCAATCGCGGCTAGCGACTCACCTGTATTAGGTTTGATCGTGCATGCGCAACAGGTACAGAGCCTCTTAGCCCATTTTGCCAGTGACATAGCAAGTTGACCACCGTTGGCGACAATCCCGTAAGTACTGTCATCTCTCCATCCTTTATTTTCAGTTGAAATGCTACATGAACCGAGTTCTTAGAGTAACGCATCTGACCAATACCACCACTGATAAGTCACTTCACGTGCGAGCCTGTCTCTATAGGTTTGACGGATACTTGCGACACGGGCTGCAGCTGTCTGAGCCCATTCAATTGTAAGATGATCGGTCGTTATCTTCTCATGAGGCGTCCTGTGCCTTTAGCTGGCGCATCTGTCGCGGAACTCTGCCAAGAACACTGCATGTGAGTGTGATTTCGAAAATTTTTCGAGTATTTTTATATGAAGACGAAGATGCAGCATCATCTCACAGCAGAAAGCAATATATCGGAAGTAATGATCCTGTGCCTGTTTTCCTGCGATAAGAATGAGCCCGGTGATTGTGGCTCCATCTAGAAACGTCATTCTCGTTCACTAAACCATCTGACAGCTGTGTGAATGCTATCTGTGGCGCGAGTTCGAACGACTTAGTCTCCCCCAGATGGACAACAAAATACCTCCTTCTCTGAGGGAGGGAGGTCAGGAGGTATAATGCGAAAGACTTAAGTCAGTATTTCATGTTCCCTCAAGGCATGGCTTTCCACATGATGCTTACCTTGCCGCGTTTCATTCGCAGACTTCTACGTTTGGCATTTAGGTAACCCTCCCTGAGTGTAGCGCCTTTGAAGAGCCAAAAAGAAAGGCGACAATCGGTCTTAGAAGCACGGAGTGACAAGCTGGTGAACGGTTGTCCTGGCAAAACGCTTGCTATTTTTTTTTCGTGCATGTCTTGGTCATCAATGCGCTTCGAGCAAAAATGATCTCTGTATTGGTTGGCATCCCAGCAATATGGTTGTCCCATCCGGAATTCCCAGCATTCCGAATGCTTATAACTGACGATGGCGGGCGCAGCTTCGCTATCTAGGATCTCTCAGGCTTCTCAGCAAGGACACCAGGATGGTGACGAACGGCTCCGCGTCCTTGCGATACCACACGTTCGATGAACTTGATGAGGTTCGTTCATGAATGAAACGTCGGTGGCTCGCGTGCGCGGATCGACTTACGATCCATCCTGCAGATCTATGCAAGGCTGCGGAAGACGTTCCAGGCGGGGACGACTCGACCTCTAGCCTATCGCCGCCGGCAGCTTCTGCAGCTCGCCCGTCTCATTCAGGACAATGCGTCTGCAATGCAGGACGCGGTTTTCGAGGATCTCGCCAGGGCGAGGCAGGAAACGGTGGTATCTGAGCTCGGTTCGGTCATCGCGCAGTGCCTGTACGCCGCGGAGCACCTCGAGGAGTGGGCGAAACCAAAGGAAGTACAGGGAGAGGCCTGGCGCAGTCATTGGAACCCGACCACGTACAAAGTGCCGAAGGGCGTGGTGCTTATCATTGGGTGCGCTGGCTCTTCGTGCGCGTTGCGATACATCTTATGAACTGACCATCTTAGGCCTTGGAACTACCCGTACATCCTCACGCTCGGTCCTCTGGTTGGTGCGCTCGCCGCCGGGTGTCCTTGCGTGGTAAAGGGATCGGAGCTTGCGCCAACGGTCGCGCAACTGCTCACCGATCTCTTTCCCAGGTATCTCGATCCAAACGCTTACGTCTTCGTGAACGGAGCCATCCCGGAGACGACCCACCTGCTCAGTTCGAGATGGGACCATATAATGTTTACCGGCGGCGGCAAGGCAGGGCGCATCGTCTCCGCGGCTGCGGCGAAGCACGTCACTCCCGTGACGCTCGAGCTCGGGGGCAAGTCGCCCGTGGTCATCGCTGAAGACGCCGACATCGAGCTGGCCGCGAAGCGTATCCTCTGGGGCAAGCTGCAGAACTCTGGACAGGTATTCTTACGTTGTATCGTGTTTGAGTCCACGTCTGATTCTGGGCACCCCTTAGCTATGCGTCTCTCCAGACCACATTTACGTTCCTCGATCCAAACAAGATGCGTTAATCGCAGCGCTCCTCAAGATGTACAACATGTTCTGGCCCAATGGGCCTTTTCACGAAGACGCACAGTGGGGCAAGATCATCAATCCCACATACCACGCACGCCTCAAGTCGCTTTTGGACCGCACGAAGGGCGATATCGTGATCGGCGGGTACTACGACGGCGATCGCAGGATCGCCCCGACCATCGTCAAGAACGTCACGCTAGACGATGCGCTGATGGAAGAGTGCGTGTGCTTCACTGGCTTCCTTCTCAATGAGACGAGCGATTGGGTTTTAACTTCGTGTAGCGAAGCGAACTCTTCGGGCCGATTTTGCCCATCAATGCGGTGGAAGACCTGGATGAGGCGATTCGGTTGGTGAATAGACAGTGCGTAGTTGATCTACTGAAAATGGTTGCGGTGAGCTGACGATAGGTGATAGACCAACGCCTTTAGCACTCTATGCCTTCACGAACAGTAAGGACACGGAAGAGAAACGTGAGCCATCACATCGACTCATTCCGTAGGAGACAGCTCATAACCTTGCGGATCAGTACTGGAAAGCACGAAGAGCGGTGCTCTGGTCGTGAATGACACCTTCAGTCATCTAGCCGGTGCGCGTCTCCGATGAAAAATTGAGTACCACGCCGTTGACTATTTAATCCAATCTACCAGTCTATGAGATGCCATTTGGTGGGCAAGGTGATTCAGGATGTGAGTCAACTCCTCATAGATGATCCGAGGCTCCATATCCTGAGTACTTCCTCCAACAGATGGCTCCTGGTATGGCAAAGCCAGCTTCGACACCTTCACGCACCTGCGAGGCTTCGTGCATGTTCTAAACGCGTACGTCCTATGCTTCGCGATCCTCATGCTGTATTCTCACGTGCGACATGCTATTCCGCAGCGGCGAGCCACACATGGCGAATCGGTACCCTCCGTACACAGACGCGAAGTACGATGCGATGTCGGGCGGTATTAATGTGAAGATCCCAGACAACTGAAGGCGAGGAGGAGCACTCGAGAGACGCATTGCTTGTCCATGTACGGTATACCTGCGATTCGAGCATTAAGCAGTTCAGAAAGCAAGTGGCCATGCGAATGAAAAGCGAGAAGTATGGACGCACGAGGGGACCGTCGCTGTCGAGATTTGTGCAAATTGCAAACAACATCACCACTCCTCAAATGGTCGGTCTGTCCGATGTGTGTAATCATTGCCTCGGCCAACTTCTAGCTGCTGATTCTGTCACATACGACGCTGATGGAACGCATTGCCACCGAAAAGCAACTCAGCTGTTTCTTCGTAACGAGAGCAGGTGCGCATGCGGACCATTCGTGCTCCACCGTATAGGATGACAAGCTCGTAACAGTGTCTCGTTTACGGCTGACGGGTCTTGTGCGCCTCACGGCGGAAGCGACCTAGCAACCTGGTGCCCTACATTGCCATACGCTTTTCTAAGAATGCATTATGACAAAGTGCTAAGAGTGCTTTTGGCAAGCTGTCATGAGTGATCCACCCATTTATTTATCAGGGAAACTTCTGATAAGTTCATCAGGAATCGCATTTCACAAGTACAACTTGTATAAGTCGAGACTTTACTGATGTAGGTATCAGGATTGTCCCCCCCCCGGAGAACGGATGTTGACCGTTATCAAGTTGTGTGCCGCCAGCGCCGATGCTATCGCGAACTAAACATTTCACTGACTGACCAGCCAGTGCCAATTCCCGAACAGCGAGCTTGCGGGAAGATACGCGGAGATCTGTTGGTAAGGGCCTGACGTTATCTCAGTCAGTGTAGCGAGCCGCACTAGAGCTTTGGCGCACCATGCATTTTGGCCACGCATGACCCACCTGGCATCAAAAGCCGAGCGAATATATTTCATGCATGATGAGAGAAGCAATCGAGGCTACAGAGACCTAATGAGCCTGCAGATGATTCTCGCTTCCATACCCTTCACTGATCATCCAGCGCTTGATCGTGTATTCGTACGGCAAGAGGACACTGCGCCGCGGATTGATGGACATGGTGCGATTTCATTACTCGGTATTTACTGACACCACGAGGTAGTCCCGCGCGTAGACCACGGCGATTAAGCCGCTGCTTCGCGACAGAATCAGAAGATAGATTCCCTCGAGGGAAGCAGCTTTAGAAATAAAGCACAGCACACGGCCAAGGGTCATCGGGCTGGCGTTCCAACTTCCAAGTGACACACCCTGAATGTAACCACAGGAAACCTCGTGATCATTAACACACCCGATGCTCTCACTCACCGACCGGGGATTTGTGCGGTACTGTGTGAATTGTCGCCAATTCCATTCCTTTCGTTATCTCCTATCTCATAAATATGACAACCAGGCCAACTGTCAGTTGCCAGTCATCACATCAGGGAAGCTCGAATCTGCCGAACGGCAGACCAACGAGGTAATCCTAAGACGCCGTTTATCTTGACCATTCATGCTCCTGTTCTAGCATGCACGGGCAGGCTAGGAAGGTAACACTCAATCTTATGCAGAAGGGAAACGATACCAAGTCCCAATTCGAGAAACACATTTATATTGCACGTTATCAGTCGCCTGCCGGAAGATCTGCACAGAGCATGCCACTAAGCGGTGCCTCCGTCAACGGAAATTGTTTGCCCTGCTTCAAGTATGAGTACGTATCAGGACTTTAGGGATGGTAGAAGGCTCACCGGTTATCCAGGACGACTCCGGCTTTGCCAGATACGAAACTAGACTCGCAACAGAGCCAGGGTCGCCCATACGCAGATTTAGTGCGTTTATTATCTGAACCAATTCTCCTAGTAAGGCGCAAGAAACAATGATCGGCCGCACTAGCATGGAGATACCTCTTTCTATTTTGACCCTGGTTCGTCCTCATTGTCGAAAGACGTGACTGGAAACCTCAATGAGCCGTGAATAGCACTTCCGACAGTATGTAGGAGATCTACCCATAACAGTGTTGATAAGCCCTGGTGCGTATGCGTTGACGGTAATGTTGTGCGGGGCTAACTCTAACGCTATCGTGCGAGATGGCGATCTGCTTTTCAATGCTCTCGGAGATCATCGCATGACTGCTCACCTGCACTCTGCGTGAGCCCTCTGACCCCAAATTTTGTGGCAGAATACGCCGAGAAATTTGGGAATCCTTGGGCAAAGGATCCGACACTGAGAGTGACGTCCGTGTCAAATTGTGACTGTTTACATACCTCGCTTCCCTGCCAAAGACGATGCACCTGAGGATGCCAATGCCTGAGCCCCTGCGGTGATTACTCGATACTCAGTGTAAATTTACTTTAATTCTTCCTCCTCTTCCTTGTTTGATCATCTGCAGTGCGGCATACTTGTACGATAACATCACTCCTCGTAAGTTGACAGACATGATCTGGTCCCACTCCTGCACTGAAACTACGAAGAAAAGAAGTTTATCAACAGAAAATGAATAGAAAAAGGCCGCACGTTCAAGTAGAGACCTCGGAAATGCGATTCCCGCATTTGCGACCATCTCAAAGCAAAAAATGATTCAGAGCTCTATCCAATAGTCCAGTGCAGACCCGTACCACATCAATTCCGCCCATGTACTCTGCGGTTCGCGCGAGCATGTCCTTGACTTCGCTTTCCTCTGCTACGTCTGCGCAAACAGCAACGGCCCGTCGGCCTTTGGCTTCGATCTCCGAGACGACACCATGCAGCTGGGGCTGCTCCGAGGGACGGTCGTTGACAGCAATGTCGAGGCCGTCATCTGCCAACCGCAGAGCGATACTGCGCCCAATTCCCCGCGAGGCACCGGTGACGAGAGCTATACGACGGAGAGAAGGGACGATTGTCATGTTGCGCTCGTCCCTGGATGCGTGAGGAATGCAGCGAGAATCCCGTCCGGGGGTTCTCATACCACCTCGGAATCTTTGTCCTCTTCTGGGCTGCGGCTCCAAGGGGCTCATATGGTAGGCAATGATAAGAATGAACGGCTAAGTACCTCCGCATTCGTGCACGACGATCATTGTGGTCGCTTTGAATTGATCGGTGCCATCGCTGGGATATTCGCCGACCAATGGACTCTTCCCGGGCAAGCATGCCGTTTCTACTGTAAGGAATGGAAGAGCAGTTGGCCGACCGCAAGCACATACGAGAAACCGCAATCTTTGTCAAATGGCCCGACAAGGCGGTCAGGTGGACAGCACTGTCAGGAGATAGAACCGCATTGGTATTTATTTATCATCCGTGAGCGAATGGATCCATGCATGTCAGAGGGCTCGGCTCTTTGAGAAGTCGAATGAATGAATTTGCAGTTCCGTTGCATTATCAAATTCTGAAAGCAGCAGATCTCAGATCACAAACAGTCGAAGATGGACTTTTAGAAATCCGGTTACGTTTTAATTACGTTGTACGATAAGGCTTCCGCAATGAGCTGTGAATAGGACATATCGGCGATCAAAGATCGTGTTCATCCCAGGTTGTGTCGGAGCACGGCCGTAGACTTGTGACACACATCTCAATCGAATGCTAAGCCGCCGTCAACGGAGATACTTTGCCCTGCCACCGTCTGCTTAGTATATCCCGAGGCGAACAAACTCTAATGCTAACTGCACACCTGTGATGAAAGACGATTCCGGCTTGGCAAGATACGAGACCAAGCTCGCAACGACCTCAGGCCCAGATACGACCATACCCGGGGCGTTTACGAGCTAAGTAATCTCTCGTCAGACTCGACACCCAGAATATTGGAAACGAGCAAACCTCCTTGAACAGGCGCGCAGGCTGATCTCCATCGTCTGGATGTTGAACTGTTTCAAGAGAAAGGCGATCAGTATCGCGTTCCATTGTGAACAGAGAAGGGAATACTTGCTCATGGGGGTGGCGATAAGTCCTGGGGCATACGTGTTGACGGTGATGTTGTGCTGGGCCAACTCCAATGCTGTCGTTCTGGTTAGTGCCCTATTTCATAATCGTTATGTAAAGGTCCCGCAACCAACTCGCCCGCGCACTGTGTCAGCCCTCGAACTCCAAATTTGGTGGCCGCATATGCAGAGAGGTTCGTGTTGCCTAAGCGGATGACTCTAAGAACAATGTGCGTGTTGTAAAGTAACTTTCACATACCTCGTTTGCCCGCCAATGACGACGCACCTGGATAAGAAAACGCTAAGCACTCGAGTATCCAGAAGTGTCATATTGTCATACCTATGATCCTCCCTCCTCTTCCTTGTTTGATCATCTGCTTCGCCGCATACTTGTATGACAGCATGACTCCTCGAAGGTTGACCGCCATAACGTTATCCCACTCCTCGGCGGGTGCTACCGAACAAGAGTGTCAGCGATCGTATTCCTTAATGCAACGAACACATACTATCTAACAAGGATCTGGCGATAATGATTCCCGCATTCGCGACCATCTGCATCGAAAAGGACGTGTGAGGAACATTCTGAGCATGCTGACGGTATGATCATACCACATCCAGTCCGCCCATTTCCTGCGCGGTTCGGCCAATCAATTCTTGCACCTCATTTTCCGAAGTTACATCTGCGCAAACGGCAAGGGCTCGTCCGCCTTTGGCTTCGATCTCCGAGACGACATGGTTCAGTTGAAGACGCTGCGAAGCACGGTCGTTGACCGCCACATCGAGACCATCGTCCGCTAACCGAAGAGCAATGCTGCGCCCGATACCTCGCGAAGCACCGGTGACAAGGGCAATACGGCGGAAAGAAGGAAGCACAGTCATTCTCGGGAGGTATGGGAAGGTGCGGTTAGCGAGCTGGCCGCCAGTGTGTGGGTTTTTATATGCATTAGTATACCTCTCACTTACGGCACTATCACTGCCGCCTAGAGAATCGTGAACAGCATCTGGGATTTCAATTTCATAATTTCCTTCACGGAACAATTGCCATTGTGACGATCGCGTGCCATGGGTTGTAAAATCCTATTGCTTTGATTTTAATGAGGAGGTTTCAATGCATCGGGTTTCATTGATACTCCACAGTGCTCTCTGTCATTTTGGACTGTCACATTCCTTGCCTTATGGAGCCGAGTAAATCCTGCGAGAAGGTCCGTGCCGCCTCGGGGGGAGTTGAATTTGTCTATGAGAACGTCAACAAAGAACTCTTGAAATGACATGACAGCTGTGGCGTGACTATGAATGGCAAGCAGATGTGATTGCATTCATATCCGCTCTGCGGAATGCACTGTAGGGGCATCAATAAGTGAAGAATGTGGCGTATCTGAGGAAATCTTCAACGGAGCGGAAGCATCGTCACGCTTTACTCGGGCCCTAAGCATCGACGATCCGCTTGTAAGCTGCGCAGACAACCGTGAGAAGGACGAATCAATGGGAAGTAGATAGCGGACGAAGTTATGAGCAATTGTAACGCTATATTTGGTATGCAATGATTCGACCGTCTCGGCACGGATCGGTGAAAGCAAGCACGCGACTGAAAGCTTGGAAGACGAAGTCCGTCGACCTGAATACTGGAAGGGGCTAGCAAACCATCATAACACACCTGGGTTATTCATGAGCAATCTTCGCTGGGAATCCAGCGACAGCTGTAAATAATGCACTTGCACGTCGTACTTCGTATTACTCATCCTCCGGAGCTGAAGAATTGCCGAGGTTGACGCTGAAGATTTCGGTAAATCCGTGTACTTCACCAGGTATCCGGGTTGTCCTGACCGTTGTCACTATAATGCTTATGGCCCTTTCTACCTGATGCTTCCGCATGCCAGGTTGAATCATCACGCGAGCATGGAAGAAAGGATACTCACATATTCTTATGAAAGTTCTGCTGTACCGCCTATAGTGATCGCCTCCAGTTGCGCTGCCGCGTGCTAGCACTGCCCCATCGCAGTTGTAACAATGTAGGTGTTCAAACGTTCAAGATCCACGCTTGCGTAGCGCTTGCTTTCGCTGCACCGGCTTCAGCGTTATGTACGCGCTTTCGCCGACGATGCTCAGACCGTCTCGTAAACTTCTGTAGGCGTTAATCATCATGAGATACGCGGTAATGACCGTTAGTGCCACCCCGTAACAAAAGGGTGCGGTTTGCGAGCCGAACTCTGCCGGAATTGTTTGTTTCCTCGACTTCGCCGATCATGGCGACACGGTTGCTTCCAGAGAATTTTGTTGGTGCAACACAACGCAATTTGGCAACCGACTCGTCCACACAAGAGTCTAGACTATCAAGCTACAGTAAGAAGGACGCTCTCCGAATTCACGCCTCGGAAGGTCGAGGTATCTGGAACGACTTGTACCGACGTTGCACATGATGCCGTTGACTCTTGCCTAGTGTACAGGTACTTTCTCTGACTGCGATACAATCTACATGAACTGACCCCTGTGATTAACTAGGAATTAACGGACGGTACCATCACGTCGTTGTACAGATTCACGAGAAAATACAGCTTCTCAGTCGAAGCATATGCCCCCATTCATTGAGATTGTTTGGCCTGCGAGTCGACGCGGCGTACAGGCCGTCAGCAACGGAAGTAAACGGATGACAACCAGCTCTCACCTGTTATGAAGTATGACTCCGGCTTTGCCAAGTAGGACACGAGACTTGCGACAACCTCCGGGCCCGCATCAGGCATGTCTGGCATCCCCCATGTCTAGATTTTGGACGCCATGAATCCTCAAGAATGCGAAGACCTGATTATGCAAGGTCGACGTACGGCTTTGGCTGCGGAACCAGGGGCCCCTCCGTAGCGCTTATCTTCTTCCTCGGAGACCGCTGCATTGTCGTGGATCAGTAAGTACTACAGCCTGTTCGAACAGAGAGTAGAGAATGCTAACTCATTGGTGTCTTGATGAACCCAGGGGCGTACGCGTTGACGATGATGTTGTATTTTGCCAGTTCTTGGGCTGCATGGGAGTTCAATGGTAGTTCGGATACTTCTCGAGAGCGTACTCACCTCCAGTTTGTGTCAGGCCGTGCACCGCGAATTTGGATGCGGTATAAGCTGCAAGCTCAACGGCCCCTGAACACATAGTCCTTGTAAGCAACGTCTCGCCCCATATGGCCGCTTTTCCTCTCACCTACTCTGCCTACTACGGAAGATGCACCTGTATTGACCGTGTCAGATGGAATACCGCGCGGCATTATACAAACACTCACCGATAATCCTTCCTCCTCTGCCTTGTGAAATCATCTGCTTGGCTGCGTGCTTGTACGCGAGGAAGACACTGCGCGCGTTGATCGCCATGACGCGATCCCATTCCTCGGCGGAAGCTAACACATGTCAGATCGAAAGGGTTACGTTCAAGGAAGAGCTCACTCTCGACCAGTGGTTTCACCAAACTGATACCCGCATTCGCTACCATCTATCGATCGTAACTTTGCGGTTAGAGAACATATCATTGGACTACAAGAATGTGCTCTGAGCCTACCACATCAAGTCCACCAAGTCGTTCCGCCGTCTGCGCAACCATCGCCTTAACCTCTTCATCTTTCGATACATCTGCCGATACGGCGATGGCGTTCCTGCCCTTTGCCTTGATCTCGGCCACGACTGCTTCCAGTTGGCTGTGTTTCGATGATATATCGTTCACCGCGACGTCGAGGCCGTCCTCTGCAAGGCGCAGAGCGATGGCACGGCCGATGCCTTGGGAGGCACCGGTGATCAATGCAATTCGTCCAACAGAAACCATAACTACTAGGATGTTTCAGGGGATGGTGGATGGCAGCAGAGAATACTCTTTTTCGTCACCCTGAAACCCGACACCATTTAACAGGACCACCCGCGGACCAGCCGTGCAGACCAGCCTATTGAACGTCTGGTCTTCTTATTGATCGTTGGTGCAGCCGAAGTATGAGCGCATCATGTTCTAGAGTTGAAAAATTGATCGCGCATGCTTTCGCCTCCGCTGACACTCACAATGCCACCGGCAGTTGCCGGCTGAGCCTGTATCTAGATTGTCCCTATGCAAAGTCGAGTCTTTGGCCTGCGAGACGAGCTCATTGCTTTTCTCGACGTCGCCGAGTATCATGATCATGCTGCCCTTCAGAGACTTTGTCGGTACGACATGACAATGAAACTGAGATTTCGCAACCATCCACATCAGAGTCCGGACTTAGTCCGGACTATAAAGCTGCGGTGACTCAAAAGGGACGCTCCCTCCTGGTACCTAAACGATTGCTACAGATTTTGCACAATGTACAGGCAGTTTCTCTGACTACGATACAACTTACATGAATTGACATCTGTGATCAATCTAGAATTAACGGGTGCCACAAGTTCATTGTATAGATCTACGAAAAGAAACAGCTTCTCAGTCGAAGCACACGCCTCCGTTCATGGAGATTGTTTGTCCTGCAAGTCAATGCGGCATATATGCGGTGAACAACGGAGATAAACGGATGACGAGCAGTTCCCACCTGTTATGAAGTACGACTCCGGCTTTGCCAAGTAGGACACGAGACTTGCGACGACCTCCGGGCCCGCATCAGGCATGTTAGGCAGCCCAAATGCCTGGATTTTGAACGTGATAAGTTTTGAAGAGCGTAGAAACCTGACTATGCAAGTTCAACGTACAACTTTGGCTGCGGCACCAGGGGCTCCTCCGTAGCGCTTATCTTCTTCCTCGGAGACCGCTGCAGTGTCGTGGATCAGTAAACACTAGAGTCTATTCGAGCGAAGCGCAGAGAATGCTAACTCATTGGCGTTTTGATGAGCCCAGGGGCGTATGCGTTGACGGTGATGTTGTATTTTGCGAGTTCCAGAGCTGCATGGATGAATTCAACGATAATTCGGTAGCTTGTCGAGAGCATACTCACCTCCAGTTTGTGTCAGGCCGTGCACCGCGAATTTGGATGCGGTGTAAGCTCCAAGGTCAAGGCATCCTGAGAACATAGTTACTGTAAGCGATATCTCGTCCATATGGCCCCTTGTTTCTCTCACCCATTCTGCCTGCTACGGAAGATGCGCCTGTATTGACCGCGTCAGATGGGATACCGCAATCGCATCACGCAGACGCTCACCGATAATCCTTCCTCCTCTCCCTTGTGCAATCATCTGCTTGGCTGCATACTTGTACGCGAGGAAGACACTGCGCGCGTTGATCGCCATGACGCGATCCCATTCCTCGACGGAAGCTAACACATCGTCAGATCACAAGTATCCCGTTCGTTGAGAGAAGAGCTCACTGTCGACCAGTAGCTTCGTCAACAGGATGCCCGCATTCGCCACCATCTATCGATCGTAATGTTGCGGTTAGTGAACGTGTACATTGGGCTATAAGGATGTGTTGAGCCCTACCACATCAAGTCCGCCAAGTCGTTCCGCCGTCTGCGCGACCATTGTCTTGACTTCTTCATCTTTCGATACATCTGCCGGTACGGCGATGGCATTCCTGCCCTTTGCCTTGATCTCGGCCACGACTGCTTCCAGTTGGCTGTGTTTCGACTGTATGTCGTTCACCGCAACGTCGAGGCCGTCCTCCGCAAGGCGCAGAGCGATGGCGCGGCCGATGCCTTGGGAGGCACCGGTGATCAATGCAATTCGTCCAACAGAAACCATAACTGCTAGGGTGTTTCGGGGGGAAGGGAGATGGTTGTTTCTGTTTCTTCCGAAACCCAACGCCCTTTTAAGAGGACCGCCCGTGGACTAGCCATGCGGACGAGCGGAAAAGAATCGATGTGTATGAGCTCATCATGTTCTAGATTTGGCAAGTCTCTGTGATCGAAAGTCACTTGATCGCACAGAGCCAATCATGCCCAGCGTCTGGTCCCTGCTTGGGCGTCGCCTCGATGTGCTACGAGCGTCTGGCCGAGATGCTACGTCACACTTTGGATTTAGCCGCAATGTAATGCTCGGCCGTACCTCAGTCTAGCCATTAACTTTCGACATGCTCGGGGACTACAAAGTCATCGCGAAACCAGAACTCTTCTGTATAGCCCCGACTGTAAAACGGTATCAGAATGCATGCGTCTGGAGAGATATATGAAGAGTCAGATCAGGTCAACAACACTCCGCCATTCATTGAGATAGTTTGACCTGCGCCAGAGAAACACACGAATCAGGAATGGTCTTGATCGGAACACCTTAGCGACATACCGGTAACGAAGTAGGACTCAGATTTAGCCAAGTATGATACTGTGCTCGCAACGACGTCTGGAGGACCATCGGGTGCTTCTAATGACATCCCGACAGCCTGGATTGGGCAGATCATCAGCGCGCGGTACGATGCCACTTGCAATATCAGTGACGCTCACCTGCTTGAAAGTAGCGTTAGGAGCTTTCCCCTGCAACGTGTCCTCCTCAGAGCACGCTAATTCCGTGAGAAGCTATATACGTCGGAATTTTAGGAGTTTGCCTACTCATAGGTGTCAAAATTGATCCAGGAGCGTATGCGTTGACTGTGATCCGGTACGGTGCTAGCTCCTGAGCTTCCGATGGCCATCCGTAATGTAAGAACTACAGTATGTGCATCAGGTCACGTACTTACCAGCGGCTTGCGTTAAGCCGCGTACAGCGAACTTTGAGGCGCTATACGCGGAAAGGGCTTGAGAACCTAAACACTCACTCATGTCAGTGACGACCCTTATAATGCTGACATCTGCGATTACCTCGAATTCCCGCTATAGACGATGCACCTGATGTCCACAGCCACTACCTATCAACATCGTACTGAAAGGTTGATGATGCACCCGTACCGATGATCCTGCCTCCGCGCCCTTGGTCGATCATCTGTATCGCCGCATATTTGTATGACAAGAACACACTGCGCAGGTTGTTGGAAATGATACGATCCCATTCGTCGGTGCTCGCTGAGGTCGAATTTCACCATTGCATGAAAACCACTATATGTCAAAGAAACGCACTTTCGATCATCGGCTTGGTCAATGCGACGGCAGCATTTGCAACCATCTGCACAAGTATGAAACCAGATGGACGGTACGAACGTATTACTGTCACGCTCACCACATCAAGTCCGCCCAGGCCCGTAACGGTTCGCGATATCATCGAGCGAACGGCATCCTCCTGAGAGACATCTGCAGGAACCGCGATGGCCCGTCGGCCCTTTGCCTCAATATCCGAGACCAAACTCTCCAATTGGGGCCTTTTCGATTCGATGTCATTCACCGCTACGTCTAGGCCGTCGTCCGCTAGACGAAGAGCTATGCTGCGACCGATTCCTTGTGAAGCACCGGTGACCAGCGCAACGCGTCCTGCGGGAGAGATTTGCGCCATATCTCACAAGTCTACTGCGAGTGCTGAAAGAGCAGCCGTGTCCGCTCCCGTCCTCCCATGGCGGCGCACGTTAATAAGGTGCTACTGCTTTGGCATTGCCACTTCCCACCGCTGTTGGAGAATGCGTAAGCCCAGCCTCAAATGATGATGCAAACGCTTCTCAACTGAACAGTCAGCACATGGACAGAAGCACGGATCGTGGGTAAATGCACTGCGCGACGATCTTACGCTGAAGTCCGAGGACGTCGGACGCGCGGGCTTTGACACAGAGGACCTGGGTAGCATTCATTGGTGCTCCAGTTACTTGCGCGTTGGCCTGGTCGAAAACTACATATGCGATCTGTTTCAGTTAAACTCAAATATTTCAGGGACGATGCGCAGTTCCAACTACGTACGTGGTGAATTCTTGATCTTCAATGGAAGTTCGGACTCATTAGCGGTAGTCAGAATCCGACGAGAATCCGTTCCTAAGCTGATCACGAGATGGTCGAAGGGTCATCCAACAGCATGCGCTAGCACGCGTCTCATAGACAAATACAACCGAAGGTCAGGTGCACGCGAGTGAACCATTGACGAGGTTGTACCCATAGAACCAAGGACAAATGAACGAAAGCATGTCAATCGAAACAGAATCTCCTCAACGATGATGCTTTGCCCTGTATGGTATGCCGCAGTCACTGCCACGAAATATTGAAGATGCGGGACATTCACGTACTGCTTTACCAAGAAGACTCCGGCTTCGCTAGAGACGACACCAGGCTCGAAACAACGTGAGGCTCACACAGGCGCGATCCGGGCGCGTTGAGCAACTCGTCAGAGCCGCTCGTTGGAAATTGTAAATAAAAACAGGGAAGATCAGTGACAGATGGACCCCTTTCAGTTTCGACCCCGGCTTGCCTCCTTTATCAAGGGAAGCGGTCGGAGACGAGCAAGATGCGAATGACATAGTCTGGCCTTCTGGTAGCTAACAGTTCATATACCCAGATTCAATATTCTTGATTCTAGGCGCACATGTGTTGATGGTAACATTGTGCTGGACCCATTCCGACGCTGCCAGGCTCACCAGTGAACGACCCATATATATGCGCTACATATAAAATCCGGGTTAGTCCTCGCACAGCGAACTTCCAGGGTTAATACGCCGAGATACTCTTGTAGCCTACAAAGTCGTAGGTCAGTGGACGAAATGTCGAGTAATACCGGAGAGACACACATACCTGTCTTGGATAACATCGACGCTGCAGTCAAAGACGACCCTTGCTCAATTACTGGATAACATGTGCAATTCTCGCCCAAACGTAGATACCGATGATTCTCCCTCCTCTGAGTCCCTGCTTGAACATCTGCAGCGGTCGTCGCACTTCTGAATCGACACTGTCAAGGAAGAGCAGTGAGATAATGATAAGGCCGGTACTGGCTATTCAGTAGAGGTTTCACGACCACAGTCCCCGCGACGGTGCTCACGAATAATCCAAGTGTTACGATGGTTTGTGAACCCTCCTAATACTCAGATTGGTGTAATTTTGCCTTTCACTTCTCCTTGTCTTCAAATTTTTTGACCTCCGATCGGCTGTCTCCACTATCACCTATAGTCGATGGCCATTATTGGCTGCGGAGGCGAACGCATGCGCGATCAACTTTTCACATGATGCGCTCATACTTCGACTGCATCAATGATCCATAAGCCAGACGTCGTCGGGTTTCAGGGTGACTGACGAAACAGGGTATTCTTCTGCTGCCATCCACCATCCTCTGAAACATCCTAACGGTTATGGTTTCTGTTGACGAATTGCATTGATCACCGGTGCCTCCCAAGGCATCGGCCGTGCCATCGCTCTGCGCCTTGCAGAAGACGGCCTCGACGTGGTGGTGAACGACATACAGTCGAAACATAGAAGCGGTCGTGGCCGAGGTCAAGGCCAAGGGCAGGAACGCCATCGCCGTATCAGCTGATGTGTCGAAGGATGAAGAGGTTAAGGCGATGGTTGCGCAGACGGCGGAACGACTTGGCGGACTTGACGTGGTAGGGCTCAGCATGCATCCTTATAACCCAATGATACGTTCTCTAACTGTAGCATTACGATCAATAGAAGGTGGCGAATGCAGGTATCCGTTTAGTGAAACACAGGTCGAGAGTGAGCTCTTCCTTGAACGTATTACTTTCGATCTGACACTGTTAGCTTCCGCCGAGGAATGGGATCGCGTCATGGCGATCAACGCGCGCAGTGTCTTCCTCGCGTACAAGTATGCAACCAAGCAGATGATTGCACAAGGGAGAGGAGGAAGGATTATCGGTGACTATCTGCATGATGCGATCGCGGTATCCCATCTGACACGATCAATACAGGCGCATCCTCAGTAGCAGGCAGAGTAGGTAAGAGGAACAGCGGCCATGTGGGACGAGGCATTGCTTACAAGGATTATGTCTTCAGGAGGCCTTGAGCTTGCAGCTTATACCGCATCCAGATTCGCGGTACACGGCATGACACAAACTGGAGGTGAGCATGCTCTCGACAAGTTTCCGAATGATCATTGAACTCCATGCAGCCCAAGAACTCGCAAAAAAAACAAGATCACTGTCAACGCATACGCGCCTGGATTCATCAAGACCCCAATGAGTTAGCATTCTCTACACTCTGTTCGAACAGGCTGTAGTGCTTACTGATCCACAACAATGCAGCGGTCACCAAGGAAGATAAGAGTCCCTGGTTCCGCACTCAGAAAGGTACACCGACCTTGCATCATCAGGTCTCCGCATTTTTGAGAATTCATGGGGATCAAATTCTAGACATTGGGGATGCCAGACATGCCTGATGCGGGCCCGGAGGTTGTCGCAAATCTCGTGTCCTACTTGACAAAGCCGGAGTCGTACTTGTAACAGATGAGAGCTGGTTGTCATCCGTTTATTCCCGTTGCTCACGACCTGTATGCCGCATTGACTCGCAGGGCAAACAATTTCTATGAATGGGGGCACATGCTTCGACTGAGAAGCTGTATTGGTTCGTAAATCTGTACAACGACGTTGTGGTACCGTCCGTCGATTCCTAGTTAATCATAGGGGCCAGTTCATGTAAATTGTATCGTAGTCAGAGAAAGTACTTGTACACTAGGCAGAGCCAATGGCATCATGTGCAACGTCAGTGGAAATCGTTCAGATACCTCGACCTTCCGAGTGGTGTGAATGCGGAGAGCGTCCTCCTCACTGTAGCTTGACAGTCCGGACTTTTGAGTGGACGAACTTTCGGTCACCAAATCGCGTTGTGTTGCACCAACAAATTCTCTGGAAGCAACCGTGTCGCCATGATCGGCGAAGTCGAGGAAAACAAACAAGTTCGGCAGAGTTCGGCTTGCAAGTCCCAGACGACTTTTGGGTAGCTCAGCCGGCAAGTGCCGGTAGCGCCCTTCTGCTATGGATAGGGACGATCTGGATATAGGCTCTGCCGGCAACTGCCGGCTGCGCGCTGAAAGTGACGCCACCGGCCACCGCCGGCTGAGTGTGGATCACCAGATCCGACCCGATGAGAGTCTGATTATGTTCTCGTCCGTAATCGTCGAGCAGCTTCGAGTCGAGTAGGCATTTGGATGCTTCCGTCGATTTGGCGCGGTATACAGCACCTTACTTCCACTCGAGCGTGGTCGCAAACAAGACCCAGGCCACAGAAATTCTTCTTCGCAACCATGGCGGCCGCTTCGCATACCGTGGATACTACCAACCGGCTGCAGGCTCTACGAGCGCTCATGGTGCAACCAGATTACAATGTTGATGCCGTCGTGATCCCAAGCGAAGATCAGCGCAAGTATCTCCGATCTAAAGTATGACAATTTCAATAACTGCGTCATTGCCCGTGCTAGATTACAGCGAATACAGCGCCAAGTGCGACGAACGACGAGCGTTCATATCTGGTTTCGATGGTTCTGCAGGTATTGATAGGTAGTTGTGATATTGATGAATGCTGCTGAAGAGAGTTCTTGCATAGGATGTGCCGTAGTGACAAAAGAGGGCGCGTTCCTCTTCACCGATGGACGGTATTTTCTTCAGGCAGAACAACAGTTGGATAAGTGCGTACACACGGGAAACATCGAGCCTCAGCATTAATCAGTTTGGCAGGAATTGGACTCTTATGAAGCAGGGATTGCCAGGTGATCATCACCTGCGAACTGTGGTATTCGGCCGTTCAGTTGGCTTATTCAATCTTCAGACGTACCTACATGGCAAGAGTTCTTGTCCAAGGTAATCCATTCTCCGATCTATCAGGATCAGGAACTTAGCAAGTTACAGAATCTTGATAAGAACACGAAAATTGGGATTGATCCAAACCTCATCACTGCCGGTGAGTACCTTACACAGACTCATTCAGAATATTACATCGTAATAGCTGTTTCTGCAAGGCGATGCCGATACAATACAGCAAGCTTTGAAACCGCGCGAGTCGGAGCTCGTGTCTCTCACCCATAATCTAGTTGACAAGATCTGGACGGGCCGCCCTCCGAGGCCGGCCAACAAAGTCTTTCCTCTCGATGTCAGATATTCCGGTTGAGTAAAATTGGTGACTTACATACCTCCCTATTCATGGTATGTATATGTTAGGAGAGCCTTTTCAGGAGAAGATTGCTAGGTTGCGCGAGGAACTGGTGAAGAAGAACCTGCAAGCCATGGTCGTGAATTTGCTCGATGAAATCGCCTGGCTTTTCAATTTGCGAGGTTCTGACATTGATTTCAATCCTGGTACGTTCTTGGATGCATACAGAGCATTGAACATTATCAAGTATTTCCAGTATTCTTTGCATACGCCGTCGTGACAATGGACAAGGTCGTTCTGTTCATCAACCCCAAGCAAGTTGACGACACGGTCAGAGCACATCTCGGCGAAGCGGTAGAGATACAACCATATGAAGACTTCTTGTCCTATCTCCGAGAGCTTGGTGCCGAAGTTGGCGTTGACAGGCGATCGGTCGGTCGTGTTCTGTTTCCTGACCGCTTGCAATACTCACGGTGTGATTGTCTGAAGCAACTGCTCGTTGGCGACAAAGCGAGCCTCGCAATTGTGGAAGCAATCGGGACGGTACGTATCTGACCCAGCTCAGTCGGAGGCTGCAGCATTACTTTGTTAGCGTGGCTGATGCCAGATATCGTGCGAAATCATCAAGGAAAACGTCATCGTCTCGCGTTCACCTGTCGCAGACCTCAAGTCAATCAAGAATGAGACAGAAGTCGAGGGTGCGTCCTGCCTCCCTGCACTGCGTCTGCGTTATATCCTGTCTAACGATATTCTTAATAGGCTTCAGACAATGTCACATACGAGACGGTTCCGCGCTCGTGCGATACTTTGCATGGCTAGAAGAACAGCTCAACGATAGCGTTCAATTGACTGAAAGCCAGGCCGCAGACAAGTTGGAGAAGTATCGGTCGTGAGTATCTCTAATATCGGAAAACGTAGAAGCGATGCTGAATGTTGCAGCGAGCTCGAACTCTTCCAAGGACTGTCCTTCACCACGATATCGTCAACAGGCCCCAACGGCGGTAGGTTGTAGTATGTGTTCAGCGAGAATAAATAGCTCACACGGTAATTGCAGCGATAATTCATTACTCACCAGACCCGAATGATTGTGCAATAATCCGCCAAGATCAGGTGAGATGTCTTCAAGCACTCATAGCTCTCGACATTCTAAGCGGTGAGATCAGATTTATTTGTGCGACTCAGGAGGTGAGTCGGCTCATCAGTCAGACGTATGTCCTTGCATCAACTCGTTCTGTAGGTCAGTACTTGGATGGCACTACAGACGTTACAAGAACATGGGTATTGGACTACCTTGTCTATAATATCACCGTATTTTTTTCTCATCGCATCGCATACTCTTCAAGCATTTCGGCACACCGACGGCGGAAGAACGACGAGCGTTCACCCGAGTGCTGCAAGGCCATATAGCGATTGATACTGCTATTTTCCCTAACGGTACTACTGGTGAGTTTGCTTCCTCCCTGTGCGGTCAATGGTTCATACAATATCTATGTCCTATAGGATACGTCATGTACGTGACATGCCACCTCACTGAAGGCGCACGAATTGGCGGTTGATGTTTCGACAGTGACTCTTGGGCGCGGAGACCTCTCTGGGAGGACGGCCTTGGTACGTTTCAATCCTCAGAGACTGAGTTATATGTTTGATCATCCATCATGTTCTCAGACTACCGGTGACATTCTGAGTTATTGATCGAAAGGCATAATCTGATTTACTCTTCTGAAAGTCACGGAACAGGGCACGGCGTTGGTAAGCCGGGCGATGTACTCATGGTAGCGTAGCGTTGAAACTTCTGAAACCAGGGCACTTCTTGAATGTGCATGAAGGTATCTGAACTCCTCATATAGTGCATTCACGCATTCTCATCCGTCCGCAGGTCCTCAAGGAGTTGGTGTCCGCATCGGTGAACATGCTCGCTGACTACAGCATGTGCCTGTTGGCTGATAAACCACTGTCAGCTTACAATAGCACGCCGCTAAAGTCCGGAATGACAGTATCCAACGGTGCGTGATATCGCAAAGGCGGGATGGCAATCTGAGACGTCACTAGAACCCGGCTACTATGCTGATGGCAAGTTCGGCATTCGCATCGAAAATGTTGTCGTGGTACGCCCTGCGGAGACGCCGAACAATTTCGGACAAAAGGGCTATCTGAAGTTCGAACATCTGACGCTGGTGCGTATACATCGGTGCCGGATACCAGTTGACCGCTGAACTCAAGTGTCGCATTTGAACCTGCAGTGTCCTATCCAGAAAAAACTGATCGACGCTTCGTTACTAAGCGCGAAGGAGAGGTCATGGTTGAACTCGTACCACGCCGAAGTGGAGGGAAAGCTTGCGCCTCTACTGAAGGAAGATCAGCGGGCCCTGAAGTGGCTGAAGTGGGAATGTTCGCCGTTATAGTTCGTGGGTGAAATATGCTACTGTATGTAACCTACAGACATGCTTGTACACGACGTTCTGGACCACGCAACACCTCTAAGACAGGATTCCGCGTCGCACAAGACAGTCTTCATGCCAAGTCATGGAGATCCTTTTCACTACCAATGGCCAAAGAGCTTTTCACTTTAAGTTGTTACGCTGGCCACGTTGGGCGCCTATGGGGCATCCATACGCCGATGACGACCTAAAGGGAGAATCTAAAGACCATGGCTGAATGACGACAGGGATGCTCCATAGACGTTGTTAGTATCGAGGTACTTCCAATTGAGAGAGCCAATATCAGCGTAGAAGTCGTGGCGTATAAGAAGGAGGGGGTCCGACAAGTAGGCTTTCAATACGGAAGCCAGCATATCGATCATTCTGCGATTTACAACGGCATTCAAAACTGACATCGGCGCATCCAGACTCGGAGTGCTTTGTACTGCAATCCGTCGAAGAGTCGTGCTATCGCCAACTTATCTCGACTCGAGTGGGCCCGAGTAAGGCTTGGATCAAACCGAAAAGGCCCGTTTTCATCGCTGACGGGAACGATGCCCGCTGTTAGAAGACATTCTACTAGGGACGATCAAAACACTCTGGTACCGACAACGGCAGGAAACTCACCATACGGAAATGTTACACAAGATCAAATATCGTTTATTTACGCCATACTGACACGTACACCATGCAGCTTAATCGACGCTTCAAGACGTTGTGCTGTTTTTTTCTTCGCCAAGGCATCCACCCACCACAGCGCGAGCAGCGTACAAAGATCATGATCAAGACCAGTCACAAGCTCAGCTGATGCAGTGAAAGTGGCACTGCTAATACTGGCATGCATCAAGATTGATACGCGCTAATCAAAACGCCTGATGACATCGCGGACGAATCGCGGACGGCAATTTGAACGTTGCTTGATCGGCGTCGCTGTGACCGCGGCTGAGCAGGCAAATGCCACTACAAATGTGTGAAGCACTGACTCTGTGCACCCTTGGGTACATCCCCATCTCACTTCTCCCATCGACACTACTTCCTTCCTCTGTGGGTGGGCTTTGCCTGGTCAGAGATGACTTCCATTGCACTAATGTGAGTCTGCGATGATGCTTTGGATGATGCTTTGGACGCGAATGCTCAATGGGGTTGGGCGGGTAGAGCGGGGCCGCAGGTCAGTCGCGATATCTGTTGGCTGGACCGCCGAGGAAGGGTCTCGCGCTGACAGGCTAGAGATAGTTTCTAGGAATTTGCTTCAACTGGGCGTTGCTGGGGTTGCTGAACTTGCAAGTCTGTGAGTGATACAGTCATAGACCAATTATTAGCACGAGGTCAAGGAAGTTCGTCCGGAATGGACCCCGTAGATCTGTACTATGATTACTTCCCCAAGGATCCATGGCTCCTCAAATGCTTAGGTGCGAATTTCAGGAATGTATCTACCATCGCTCGACGGACTCATATGTTGTGCGTAGCATACGGCATGCTTATCTACGAATGGGTCCAGACCGGCTTGATCACAGAGGCTGCGATGAGCATTTATGTCTACAACTACGGCGAGGTGAAGGACCTGCTCGAGTTCCACAACACGTGGTTCTCCGCAACCATGATGTGTGGCATCATCTCGGCCACTGTGCAGTTGTACTTCGCGTGGAGGATCTGTAAGCTATCAAACTCGCGCGTATTGGCGGGCATCATCGTCGTGGTGCGTTGACTCGCTGAGAAGAAGCTGAAGTCGATATGCGCTGATACGCTGAGTTGCAGCTCTCCGTTCTGCAGTGCGTCGCGTCTCTCGTGGCCGGCGGGATTGTAAGTTATGTATTTTCGACCAGTCGCAACATTGTCCAATCCTATGAGATAGGAGAAGTCGATCGGCATAGCTTATGCGATCGAAAGCAAACTCATAAAGGCAGTGGTCGTAAGTCAACTGCCTCCGCGACGAGCCTCAGCGATTAACTGCTCGAAGCTCTGGCTGTCAGCAAGTGCGCTCGTGGATGTATTGATCGCCGTAACAATGACGACCTTGGTGCGCATTGCTGATAGTTGCCCGGGGATCTGCGTGCCCGGTTACTGACCTTGTATATGTGCAGCTACTTAAGAGCAAGACGGGGATCACATCCACCGATGCACTTATCAACCGGATGGTCCGGCTTGTTGTGGAGACAGGCACACTGACCGGTATATGCACCTTGTTTCCCATGATGCCACCCGGTCTGATGAAGTTGCATACAGCAAGTTTGTCTATCATCGTATTGATCACTGCAAAAATCGAACCGGTACGTCGCTCAAGCCGGATAGGGCAGATCGATAGCGAACTAATCTGTGGGCAGTTGTATGGAACGTTAGTCTACGAAGCGCCGTGAGTGTCTGATTTATGTAGCTTGACAGCTCAAGCCCTTATGACGTCTTCCCAGCGCGCTGATATTGACGAAGATGTACGTGGTCTATCTACTATCTCTGTTGCATTCGTTTCGCCAATCCACGTCCCAAGGTACTCCAATACGTTTCTGACAAACTTAAACAACCGCAAGTTCATACGGAGACGAGATGCGACCATGATCGAGCTCGTACCGATGAGTGAGCTGCATTTCGCACAGAATGTCACTGTCCAACATGTCGAAACCTCCACACGACCTGTGATGGAGTCATCGACGAGTGATGCTGCCAGCGTGGCTTTTGTGCGGAAGGGATTGGGAGCACCATGTAATGGCTTGACATTTTTCCCGCGGAGCGTTCTCGAGGCACAGACCAAGCGTCCTGTCCGGCGAAATTCGGTCGTCTGAAAGCTTAGTTGAGATTCGGCATTGGCGCACGGTATAATTGGAACGCTGTTACGCTCCAGAGATGTACACGCCGAGTGATTTCGGGATGTATAGTTGCTATGTAGTTCGTTTGAGGGTACATTACGAACTTATGCAGTGCTTCCTATCCCGAGCCGTGACTTTGAGGGAAGGGACAGGGCACATCCGAGAGCTGCAAGCCATCGGCGCAGCGGCACGCTAGAAGGTTGCTTAGCACCTCAGAGCTCCAGCAGCTTGAGGGAGGGGGAGGAAACATCTAACCCATCCCAAAAGAACCAATCGGCAGTGCATGGCTGAATACCTTTCACAGTGAGTTTGCGACGACAGATAGCACCACACTGCAGGAAAAGAGATATGCAATTCATAGTTTGGCCCGGCAGGACGACGCATACTACACACATAGAATGTGGCCGCAATTGGCATCGACTGAGAGGCACTTCTCTGGAGAATCTATAAAAATGCTTGGAGGAGACGTCATAGGATTCAATCATCTAAAGAATGGTATAATGCCGATCTGGATAGCTTTTGCTCTTGTGCCTGGGGTTGTATCCTCCGCATACGGCTCTCACACTGTGCCTGAGAGACAACACTTCGGCCAAACGAGGCTTGAGCAAACTGACCACGTCAGGCATCCATCCATCGTTGCCGACGTGATAACGAAAGCAAAAGACGATAACCATGGAAGGACGATTACGGCCCAGAGATGCTAGGACTCGATCGAGGAGCTTCCAATCCAGGAAACCTATGTCGGCTTCGAAGTCGACGGAGCGGAAGAAACTGAAGCTTAAATTGATCTTCTGCATGCTGGGAGATGTGATATGCTCCAGTAAGATGGGCAGCATGGTATACGTTGCATTCCGCCAATGAGGGGCCTTCTGAACCAGGATGCTGATAGACCGAAGGTGGATGTGACGGGAGAGATCCACATCAGCAAGTACTGCAATGCGCAAAATAAATCCTTCGTAAGCTTATCTTGCGATATCGACCTGAACATGTGCTTACCATCATCGCCCCATATGTTAAGTGATAAATCCTCGAGGAACGCTTCTGCGCCATGTATCAGCGGGACGAGAGCAGCGGGCTCTGCCGGTACGGAACTTAGGGAGATATCCCAATATAATTTTCGTAATTGGAGTTGGAAGTGAAGGTGCAACAGCGCCAGCAGCTTGGAAAATTCGACCACACAATGTACGGACAGTTCATGCAAGACGATGGGTTCTTTTGCTTCCGCTATCCTGGTCACAACGTCGTTTGGCAACGTCTCACGGTTAAACCATGCGATGTGGGACAGTTCAAGGGTAGAGAGTAGAGGGTACGAAGTGATGATGCTTGTCAAATCTGCCAGCGAGGAGAACACCATAATTTCGACAGCCAGGACTCTCAAAGAGGGAAAGGATGCTGTGATGCATTGCACGCAGCCCGACTCGCGGATCTCGTCCCAAACTGTTTTTGTCAATCGAAATTCTTCTAGCTTCCGCAGGCGGGGAAGTAACACGGGGAACCAATCTATTGTCCACCCTGTGCGAGACGATGCATTCCGAACCGGTGGACCCGGATTAATGACGAGCCGTTTCACACAATCTGCGACCTCGGTTGACGTCCCGGAAGACGCATTCAGTGCTCTGGAGAGACGGACGCAGTCGTCGTCTCCTTTGAGCTCCACGGATTTGAACAGGTGTGCACGGGTGATAGACACCCAGGCTCGGCACGTCAGGCTGCAGGCTATCAATGCAGCTGAATCCTCAGACAGGTTGTCCAACACGAACTCCTGTATTTCGAAAGGCAGTGAAGGCATTGGCTGTTGCTAAGGGGAGATGCTTAAATCCTGCTAGCGTTTGAAAATGTCATTCACGGCTCACCGGCTGCGGCAATGTATTTGATGTGGCGTTGCTTGAAATCACGGAAACCCTATAGATATTGTTCAAGCGATTTCGGAAGCGCAAGATACGAAAAGGTTCATACCGTGCTAGGCTGCCAGGAATACACTCCACCAATTGTCGATATTCGAGGGTATGGCAGCCAGACGGCGGGACTGCTGTGTAGTGTGATAACCGAGTCAAGTTAACGGATGCTTATAGACTATGGGCTACGGGCCTTTCGTTTGATGACGGTACGAAGGCAACATATCAAAGTCGTATCATTGATCGCCTTACGGCCACGGGTTTGACACGTGCACTGGCAAATGTGACCACCAATGAATGGTGAGCGCTGAACGCGGAGCATTCCTTGCCAACCCGGAAAGTGAATATGGGACACTTTAAAGTAATGACCGAGTAGGATATGGCGGCTGCAGTCCAATATAAAAGAAAGTACACGAACACATCATCGAGGAGAATGGCTCCCGCTCCTCGTACCTTGCCGTTTCCGCTCCTCCAAGCGCAAATGAGTCCGTTCATCCACCTGCTCCAGCTCATCGTCCTCTCCCACATCCTGCAATCGCGACAGCCCAACGTTATCCGTGATCTCTTCGTCCTCCTCAAACGCGTTGAACAGCGTTGAAGAGCCAGTACGATTATGTGAGTTTCCTCGTCGCGCCGACGAGTACTGGGGACCTGAGCCGCCGACAGTTGTCCTGGCCGAACCGTTCCATCCGTCAGTGGATATGCGGCCCTGTAAGCTTAGACGCGGGTTCGTGATGCCGCCCTCGAGCACGGAGTGGCCGCTCGCTACGGGTAGCGACTCAGGCCTGCGGGAGATCTCGAGGAGGTGGACGCCCAGGAATGTGGTAATGAAGCCGGCCAGTAGTGATATCGAGTTCGCCGGGTCATCCGTGTTGAAGCCCTGGAACAGAATGACGGAGGCGACGATTGTCGCAGTGGAGAAGCCGACGTAGTACATGGGGTTTACGCTGTAATTTTCCGTGAACGCATGTTATTTACAAAACAAGGCATGCACCTACACATTGGTAGAGAAGGTATCGAGGGCCTTGTTGAAGTAGTTCATCTGCACTGTGATGCAACCTGCGACGACGATACCGAACACATACGTGCTCGGGTGTGTGAACTGGTTGTTGCCAGCGAAGGTCAACTTCACCGCCACGCCGAAACCCTTGATTGCCATCACAGAGACGGACCCGACTAATGAACAGATGGATATGTAGACCAAGGGATTTGTCCGTCCGTAATTCGGCACCACAGCATATATCATCACTAAGCTGAAGACCACAACGGTGAAGCAGTATAGCATGAAGCCTGGCTCACGGCATCAGACTCTGAGCTCGTGACGACATGTCTGATCACCCACCAGGTTGCATAGCGTAATGCAAGATCTCATCCACCGTTTGAATGTCCTTGTCTTCAGGTGCATGCAACACAATTATGAGAGAGCCAAGAAGGCATAATGTACATCCAACCCGGCCAAGGTGACCGAGCTCTTCATTTAATAGGAAGGACGCAAGGATCGCGCTGAGTAACAAGGTCGATATATGATGCAACACTTTAATAAGGCTTAACATACCCTATAATGACACTGAGGGCACCCAGTGGCGTGACCAATATTGGGGGAGCGAATGTGTATGCAGCGAAGTTCGCGACTGATAGATAACTGGTCTATCTCCGGTGCACGTAGGTGATGTATCGCGCTCACCTTCTCCCAGAACCACTACGATCACCATCAAATTAGGAGAGAAGTGTCTCGCAACGTTGACGATACTCACAAGTTGACATCCCAGCCCACCAGATGGGGCTTTTGAAATACGAATAGTTGTCCGAGGCCTGCGCATATGTCGAGCGATTACCTGCGTCATTCAAGCCCTGGGTCCGCCACCAGTCCCAATAGCCTTCAGAACCGTACCAGCTCAGGACCAGCGTGTACACGGACCGACCTTTTTGGTTATGATAAAGCTGGTCCCGATAGCAAGAGAGCTGGAGACAGCAAGCGCGAGCCCAATGTACTTGTCTTCGAGCATTGCCACGTCGTAAAGAAAATAAACGAAAGTATTGTCAGATCCAAGGACGTCGTCTAGGTATAATAGGCAGTGCTAAGGAGCAGGTGACAGATGTTGTAAGGCCAATGTCAGGGATTCCGTCGCGTGCGCTCGTGTCTACGTTCGTGGTCGCTTTGCGCGTTGGAGTTGATCCAGGATTGCAAGCCGGCTCAACAGAGCACGGGTGGTGGTGTTTCAAAGCCTGGTAGCACCGCAGCCAGAGAAGTCGGAAGAGCTGGTCGCTGATATGGCACGGCACGGCTGTGAGGATAACGTGCGACTACTTACGCGTGACACCAGAACTTTGTGACTCGTTGATCGTTATAGGGTTTATTCCTCAGTGCTTTCCTCCATCGCTGGCAAGCACACCTTTTCATCTGTTTAGGCCATTCATAGACATAATGTCTGCATAACAGTTTCACGGAAACTTTGGACGCATGTAGACGGGAAAGAATGCTACTCGTGCTACATGGCTGCTAACGTACGCGTCACATATACATTGTCACGCTCGACTTCCGGTTCAGCGACGCACTTCGATCTCGAGTGCTTGTCCACGGTGAGCAGGCCTCCTTCTTCCCCCATCTAATCTAGCTTAAAATACGACAACGACAAGGAAAACATGCTGTCAAGCTTTCGGCAGGTTGCAGCACGCTCGTGGAGACTTAGCCGGCGAGGGCTTTCGTCTACGACCGATGCGACGTTGAACAATCCCATTCTCGACACGATGGCCAGCGTTGAGCAATTAGTCGCTCAGAAGACATTACCGGCACGGCCGCTAGTCAATCCAGTCACGCCAGCTGAAATCAACATACCTCCTGCGGAGGACCCACTACTTCAATTCCTGACATCCTGTTTTATGAAGGACGGCAAGCGCCAAAAAGCAGCCCGTGTCACCTCCCAAGTCCTCCTCTACATCCACACTCTCACTCGGTCCGCTCCCTTGCCTCTCCTCCGCACTGCGATAGAGGCTGTTGCACCTGCTGTACGATGTATCACTAACAAGCACGCCGGGAAGACGGTCGTCTACCCTGTCCCTTTGAGCGAGAAGCAGCGAGCGCACACCGCGATCAAGTGGATAGTGCAAGCGAGCGATAGCAGAAAGGGTCGGAAAATGGAGATCAGGGTGGCGAAGGAAATAATCGCGATTATCCAGGGCATGGACCAGGCAGAAAAGGCGCAATTTAGCACAGCATACAAGAGGAAGGAGGAGGTGCATCGGTATGCGATGGCGAACAGGTACGTTTCCATCTATGATGCTTTCTGCAGAAACCTTGACTATATATTGCAGAGGAAATGCTGGGCGGAATGCATGACCGTGCGCGTCGTACATGCTTTCATGTATTATGGGTGTACGCAAGTATTTACACGGGCCTGTCGAAGACGACTCGCAATAGGATGTAGCGCGGTGTATGTCAATTGAAGTACCTCTATTTCGATGGCTGCTTATCTCGAGAGTCATTAGGTGCCCTCTTGATTTACTCAGGTGTCATGGGTTCTCCCGCACGCCCAATCCGCGATTTGTCTTTAATTCTGAAGATAACACTAGTGTGCACCATACCAGGGCGCTGCAGACAAGTGAACAATTATCATAGCTTACAACTCTGCCCTTGCATTTTTTTCCTTGACATGTGCAGCTGAGGTCCGATTGTGCCTCGCAACAACCCTCGTGTCAGAGCATTGACTGCATATTGGTGACAACTCGCGCAGTGGTGCCCCGATCAGGAACGATGTGATCCATGCGCGGGGTGGATATCCACGCTCAAAGGGTCAGTGTGTTGTCGCAATACTCTAATAGGACTAGCGTTGAGTGAAGACGCCACCAAGGATGCATCTTCTTTCATCCCCTCCCTCAAAAAAAGGAGGCCTGCGTAGGATGCTATGAACGCGGAGACGTCAGCCATCCCCGCTCGCTATACTACGAGCAACCAGCTTGGCCGTTACTCGATGCTTTCGGATGACACAGGTTTTTCCGCGCGGCCGAAGGGTGTCAGTGATCGGCTGTGGCAATGTGGCTGATCGATGCCACTCCGGCGCTATTGTTGTGGTCAGTGGCCAAAGGTGAAGGAACATATAAAGGGCTGTCCTCGCTTCTGCAATTTCTTGCATCGATTCCCTCTTGATATCGTTCTCCGTTGCTGCTGTTTTGTGCCCTATCTTGCAACTTGAGGAAGCATCAACACCTGTAACGAGCAAATCATTTCTCACTTAATACAATTGTCATGGCTCCACAAACGCGCAGACAGAAACGGATGCTTGAGATGGAGGTCGCGGTTCCGCCACCTCCGAAACGTAGTAGAACAGCTTCGGCGGAGCAGCCGCAACAGGCTTCGCCACCCCCACCACCACCTCCTCAAGACGTATTAGGACTGATCGATATGCCGTATGATGTTCTCTTGCAGGTGAGTATGGCCATGACCAATAGAGAAATAGAGTCATATGGACTTGTGCAGATACTCCAAGAGCTGTGCCCGGCGGACCTGTTGAGCCTCGCTAGGGCAAACAAGATTATGCGGGCGACGCTGCTAAGCAAGACAGCGCGGCCAATATGGAGAGATGCACTAGCACAGTACTCGCAGAACTCTCATCTCCCTCCCTGCCCTGCGTGGCTCAGCGAGCCAGGTTATGTGGAACTCGCGTTCGGACTGGACTGTCACAAGTGCGGCAGGAAGCAATGCAGCCCCGGAGACACGATTTGGCAGTTCGCAGCCAGATACTGCCGTAAATGTTTTCCGTCGATGTGCGTACTGTCTTATCAATTATCAGCATGCGTGTTCATGCTGGACGGCCATCAGGGTTACCAACCGCGATGAGCTTCAGAGGAAATCTTCGTCGAGATATACTGTCCTGAACAAGTTGCTTCCCGTATGGCGTACAGAGAGTGAGCCGCCAGTCAATCTGATAGTTTCTCGCGTTTACTGATCCTTTGAATGATTTTCTCAGAACACGTATACTACGTTCACACCATTGATGTACAAATGTTGACCGCGAAAGAGTCATTTCTCGAGAGCACCGAATTGTCGACTGAGCTCAAGGATCGCAAAACTAATCGAGAGGTTGTGATCTTTCTCCGCTCCTACGAGTACGACGATTAATGTATCGTTTCGCCAGGATGTCGGAGCCCTCGAAAAGTGGTCGAAAGACAGCGACCTCGTATACCGCGAGAAGGCAACCCTGTTGAGAGGACGACGGATAGAAGCGTTAGTCACTCTTTGACTGTTGATTGTCCATATGCTGATGTCGGCAAAATCCCCATTATGCAGTATTGTAGAGCGCTTGAAAGTTATGGGATACGAACGCGATGTCGCAGACTTGGGAGAAGATTACTACGTATTGCAACAGTTTCCGCCAGCGGGTATCCCCGGAGAGTTGGATGATGCAGGTGTGTTTGTTTGTACCGCTTACTATTATTTCCGACTATTAATCTTTGTCCACAGAGTGGGAAGAAATCAAACCTGCGATCATAGAGCTCATGAAGGAAAGGCAGAAGATTCGTCATTTCTGCGAGAAAGTGGAACTCATCCAGCAGACGTGTCTATCCGTTCTTGAGCGAGCCTTGTCGGAGTTGGGCACCGCGGACGCGCTTAAAGAACCATTTCCTCACCCAATGGACGTGGCCAGGTATGAGGAGGTGCAAAATGTGCTTGAAGGGCCAGGCGGCATGACCGCAAAGCTTACAGCGTTGCGTAGAGTGCTGCCTAAGCAAATTCGGGCCTGGAAGCGGGGTGTCCAAACAGCATTGCAAGAGCGGGTTGGAAGTGCCGTGAAGATTCCTCGCGTGTGCAGCCACAGCAATCATCTTCGACCACTTCATATGCAGCCGGCCAAGCTGGTCTTCAAGTGCTTGGACTGCGATTGCCTCAGGCACTGGCCTGCTGTCACGGCGCACAGCCACCCAACTGCCGAAAACGAGCGGCATCAGCGTCGTCCTTCCGAGCACATGCGCAAGCTTCATGGTGAACTGCCGACAATCACAGGCTCCGCGTACACGGCGGCCGTTTACGGACGTTACGACCGTGGACAGTGGAGCGCGGACGACTTCATTTACTGCGGGCGCCGCGCCGTCAACGTTTTCAGGGCATGCTTGCAGGACCCTAATAATGTCACAATTGGCGATATGGACGCATTAAATGTGAGGTTCTCGTGCGCTCTATGTCATGCGAAGTCACCGAGGACCAAGATGATCTGGAGCTGGCGGGACGCGGTATGTTGTTATTGTCAATGACCTGCCGTAGTGACACTGAGTGCATCATCATGCTTCAGATCCATCACTGTGCTGATGAACATGATGAAATGAATGGGGCTCGGCTTACGTGGAATCTAGTAAATCTTGAAGAGACAGCAATCGTCAAGAAGAAGCAGGCGGCCCGGAACAGGCAGTCAAGAATGGAGTATTCAGATGCCGAACCATGGATGTGCACACATTGTTACAGGGAGATGAAAGACGGTATACTTATGACCAAGGAAGTGGCAGCCAGGCACGTCAAGAGAGTACAGTGAGTATCTCCTGGTACGTCTTCTCAAGGTGCATCGATTCTCATTGCGAACCTAGCGGCGTTCAAAAACTGGGTGCCGAAGACATTGTCATCAATCCAGATAGGACTCCGTACTGGCCGCGAGCTGTTGAGCTGATTGATGACGGGCTAACCCGGTGGGAAGTAGAAGAAATAGAATCAGAAGAAAAGATTGCGGATAAACTAGCAGCGCTGATTCCGCGACATCTAAGTCCGTCTTGGAATTGGCCGCCGCCGCACCGGCGGTACTAGTGTTATCTCGTTCATACTGTCATTCCACGAACGATACCATAATGCGATGCATCTATTGTTTAATGTCAATATATTGGATGTCTACATGTGCTCTAGTGTGAAACAGAATACCACGAAGGAAGAATGTAGATCTGGACGGCGAGGCGGTTCTTGTGAGAAAGTCGCACCAGAGCCATCCAACAATTGTTCATTTGACTCACTCTCTGTCTACTTTGAAGGACCGCGAACGGTTTGGAATCGAAAAAAACACTCTACTGCTGTTAGTCTCTGGAGGTCCGCCGCACGCGATATGCCTTCGATGGAGGCCGCGTGAGCCGCGCGCGCGCGTTTACGAGTAGTATCTTGTAACGCGAAAGCACATGCAATCACCCCAGACATGAAGCCGTTTTTTAACGCATAATAGGCATTTAAAATTCGATCTGGTATTTTAAAATTGACATTTACATTTACGCTCGTTACGTTTTCCGAAGATATATATGGAATCTGGGCGTGACTATGGAGTCACACAATACGATCAGCGGTAAATTCTGAATAAACGACATTTTGCTCAGTTTATAATAATGGACCTCATATGCCATCGTGTGATACGCCCTCACATAGTTCAGAAATAGCACAAGGAAAGTGACAGCTGCAAATCAACCTCCGCATATTGAAAATACGCGCGCTCCTTAAATTGGTGGAACTATGTACAATATTTGATGGTGGTAGATTCCAGATCTTGGACAATAAATTTCACATGTACGGTCTACAACAGTACTAGTACCGCTCGCAGGGTAACAATTACCGCGTCGCGGTCCCCTTTAAAAGCTTCCCGAGCTCGTGATATAAGTGAATAGGGTAATCAATTCAATTCGAAACAGAACAAAGTAACTTGCCGTGTGAGACTACCGCTGAGGTGGAGTCCCAGCTCAGTTCCCTTCCACCGGAATACATCCAGACATCAGATAAAGCGGCACAGGTAGTGCAAAGACGTGCCATGTCGTCTGTGCGGTCAACAACAGCGTCCTCCCACAGCTGCAAGTTCGATAGAATGGGAAATTGCCGCAACCAGCCGGGTAACTGACTCTATTTTGCAACCTTTTAGCTATCGGACTACGCCAATCCATAATGGCCGACTTACCAAGAGCAACGCACTGAAGGAATCCCGTTTATTCTCGCTCGATGCTTGTTCCAACACAACGTACTTCACGTTAGGAAGTAGAACATCCGATAGCGGAAGTCCGATGATACCGTTCGGTATTTCGTCAACGCCCGCTGCCATGAAAGGAGGAAACGTGCAATTGAGCCAGTACAGCTCCTCAAGCTCGGAGACGAGCGTGAGCACCTTGGAGAGGCTGCAAACGAACTCGGCGGTCTTCTCACAGTGGAGACTAGGGAGAATCGTCAATCTCTCCAGAGTGGCGGCGCTCGTGCGCTCGTCGCCTAGTATGTGGAGAAGGTACATGGTCGGCGCTGCGAGAACCCGCAGATGAGATAGATCTGAAGGAGGGGTTCGTCGACGGGCTACACGGCCGTAATCTGAATGATATCCTATATGAAGTTCCTCTAGTCCGCGATGGCGCTGCAAGAAACGATCGAGGGCAAGGTGAGTAAGTTCACCCTCGATTCGTAGGATGCGGAGGGTAGGGATCGCGAGTCGCTCCAGGATAAGGGACCAGGGAGGGGAAGCGAGACCCGGTGTGACTAAAGTCAGCTCGACTAGTGAAGTGGAATTGATCATCTGCAATGTCCATTGAGACAAAGAAGAATCGAACAGTGCAGCCACCTGAGGCTGAAATGTTTCCAAGGTGGAGAATGAAAAGTCGGGCGAGCAGGACACATGTTTGCATGGTAAGACAGGGCGGCAAATGATGCTACTTCTGTGCCAGAGCGTGATACTCGAAACACAACTGTGACGCAACGTATCCAGTACCTCCACCAGCTGCTGTCCTGGAGGTGAGTCGAGGAAAAGTTTCACGTTCCGCAATGGTGAATCAGACCCCAGGGACGCGAAGAAATGACCCAATCGCATGTATTCGGAAGGGGTGTTGATACCGACACGCAGTATCCGGGGGCACTGGAATAGCAGCGAACGCCGCCAGAAAGAAAGAGTCGCAATGGCATCATCTCTGAGTAGGACAACGACTTTGTCGGCTCCGGAAATGTGTAAGCCGTGTCGACGAAGATAAATGGGAACGGTGATATAGTGCATATGACAGGACAGGGTGGTCAGACACACAAGGTCGCTGTCTGGCAGTAACTCAGCAATTGCGAGGACCAGTTCGTTGGGGACATGGAAGAAAGCATCTCTACTGGGTGTAGCAGGTATCTAGGACAGTAACCAAAATAAGCGAAAAAGCCCGGACAAACAGAACAGCACTTACGACTGTAAGCTCCTCGTGGATAAGGCACAGTGCGTCTTGATCTGCTTCGCTTATTGCAACCGAAGATGACTTTGAGTAGTGATGAGAAAGGACGATGAGAAAGGATCAAATAACAAAAGTCAATGGGTACCTACAGCTGGAAGAAACTCCTTGCCTGTCGACCCGTCATGAAGCTGGGTCGATGCTATTGCGGAAGCAAGCTGCTAAGATCAAATGAACACACTTCTGAACGCCACACTTTTGAAAACATAGCCATGAACGTACAATTTCCTTCGCAGGGACAGTATCACGGCAATGAATGGCTCTACGTATCCTTGCCACGTAGTAGAAGAGAATGCTAAGCACGCTAAGCACAAGACCCATGACTGCAAGTGATTGATTGACGGGGACAGATGGTTGAGAGGCCCTGGACTGGCGCGGGCCAAGACTTTATATCTCGAATGCGAATGAGAGAGGGCGTTTGAGAGAGGGTGAGAAAGCGCTAAGCTACGCTCGGGACCTTCCACCACCATGGTGCGTACGACAGATTGTGAGACCAGTCCAGGCAAGCAAAGAGGCGGCAAATTGGTAGCCGGAATAGAGAAAGACAGCCAAATGTGCACAGGACATACGAACAATTAGCATCGAGCCTGGGACAATAGTGGACGACTAGTACTTACTTGCACGAAAAGCTTACACAACGGAAAGCCCGCTACTCTGAGCAGCCGGAGGCGCAAGGATAGTAGACTAAAAAATTAGTTGTCGACCTCGGAACAATGGATGTCGACTTACCTGCACAGAAAAACATACACGACAAACGGGGAGACAATGGACGAGCACGTTATGCATCGTCGGCGTTCGCTACCCGGAGTGACGGAAAGCCGGGCTGCAGTGCTAAGCAGCGTACGGAAGAATGATGATGAACCGTTTGGACAATAAGTGTCGGCCAGAGAGCGTAGCGATGACGAGCCCGCTGCTCTGAGCAGCCGGAGGCACTCAAGCGGGGAGACAATGGACGCGAGGAGCACTACGCATCGTCGTTGTTCGCCATCTAGAGCGATGCGATAGAAATCCGGGAGAACAATACAGACGGAGTTGGATAATTAGTGTCGACCTGAGCGGCCGGAGACGCAAGTAGGGGGACAATGGACGGGGAGCACTACGGATCGTCGGCAATCGCTATCAAGAGTGATGCGATTGAGATGAGGGAGAACGATACTAGACGGAGTTGGACAATTAATGTCGATCTCGGGACAACAGAGGCTGACTTACCTGAAGAGAGCTCGCTGCTCTGAGCAGCCGGAGGCACGAGCAGGGAAGACAATGGACGAGGAACACTAGCATCGTCGGTGTTCGCCATCGAAGCGATGGAAG